TAGCTACGTGTATTTGTAGTCCACTCATGCAAAGAAAATGGATCTACCTTTAAAACTGAGCTCGTGAGAGCATTTGCCGTAATTCAATATTTTGCATTAAAATCGGGCGACATGACGTTACTCTGACGTCATTTCCTTTCAGCCAAACTATGATAGCTAGAAAGTTGAAATTTCAACACAGTGTGTCAAATTGATGCCGCTGAGGGTACTGCAAGTTTCGTGTTGATCCGTCATACCTACGGTTCAGAATATATTGCTGAAAAACGGGAGGGGGTTCTGTAGAGCCCCCCCCCCCGTCATGCGCGGGTTAAAACTGAAGATGTTAGACGCATTTTGAGTTTTCGAGTTCTTGAAGCGAAATGGCGTGACATGACACGAAGTTGGAACACGAATTTGATGCATGAAATGGACTGAAAGTTTGACGCAGCTGGCTTGACGCGTTTAGAAGATAAAATATAAGCGAAATACGGCAGCGGGGCAGATTCTGCCTCCCTTCTCTCTCAGCAGGGCGCGCGTTAATAAAATTCCATAACCTGAAATTGGTCTGACGATATAAATCGGAAAGCCAAGCTGAGCACTCCTTCCCTCCGCTCCATAGTCCATCTCGGGACCATCGTACCCAAATTTTGATCCAGTGCTGACCATCACATCTGAGTTTCTCTGGCGACTGGTGACGGACTAGGGATCGGCGAGGATATCGATTAGCCGAGAGGGGTGTGAAGCACTATTTGCGCCAGTACCTGTAAATAGCCACCGCGGACGGACGAGGGGCAAGGGATCGCTGACCGGGCAGGGGAGGGAAAGGGAGGGGAGGGGGAGGCCTGCCGGAAATAACCGGCTGCGTCAGCGGCACTACCGGGGGAGGGGCGGCAGCGGCGGCGGCGGGCTGGCCACGCCGCGCTGTTCGGCCTAACGCTGAATTTGCCGCATTACGCAAGGAATGAATGACGTCTATTCCACTGAAGCATGCCGAGAAAATTAAGCAGAATGAATGCAGATTATGCTATTTATGATCACCTGGGACAAGTGCAAACGTGAGGCAAAAATGACCCGGTCCGGCCAGAGCATCATTGATACGCTAAAAGCATTGCAACATCACGTCATTCTGACTAATCATATTCTTTGCCAGGTTGCCTCATCCTGTATCCTGTAACTCATGATTGAATGAGTTGAACTTCGGGGCATGAGTCAACTACGGGGTGCGGTCAAGCGCGTCAAAATCATTGCTCAATGGCTGGACTTGAACCGATTACGCTGGACTGGATCCTGGCTTATCTTTGGACTGTGGAACTGGATATCGTTATCCGAACGTTAGGTTACATTTTTTCGGGATACCAGAGCTAAGCGTGCACCTCACATGTGCTTGCGCAGCACCCGGCACTGTAGCTAAAAAACGACAAATACCTAATCACAATCAAAGTTGACATTTTGCACGTGCTCTCACCCCAGCACCTGAATCAAATGACAGGCTCCATCAATTACGGATTAGGTTTACGTCAGTGTGAGAGCTTCAATTTGTCTTACTTTCGTCCGTCCATAATTGTAATTGGGTAGATAAATGACAGGTGCTCGAAAAAAGTAACACTGCAAGTGTAACAGTGCGTTCAGCTTTTGAACACCAACAGTGGAACAAGACTTAGGGCCGAAGCTTTCCTTGCTGTGGTTAGCTGGCTGTCATATGTCCAAATGAGATAAAGCACCTCGGCAGCAGGGCGGGGACGCCGCCGGTAATCTTCCAGACCGGCGTCCCGTCGCTGCAGACTGCAGGGACCGAGGTCGGTCGGAGACGCCGCGGCCGCTGCAGTGGGTCCAGTCGGCGGACAGACAGAGGGACCACTCGGAGGTCAGACAGAGGGCAACAGCCGGTCCGGCCCGGCGGCGGACAGGGTGTTCTGCAGTCACCACCCCCGGCGAGCGGGAACCGGTTCAGAGCCGCGCCGACCGGCCACAAAACCCACCATGGCGGCACGGCTCGAGCCGGCTAATCAGAGCTCCGCGGCCCGGCGGGCTGGAGGGAAGGAGGTGGCGTCAGCCGCTCACCAGACGAACGGGGTGGAACAGAGAGAACCGGCTGGCGACACCACCGGTCCACCGCTCGCCGTCCGTTCGGCCGGCTGACGCAACACCGCGGCGGCGGCACAAACACCCTCGGAGCCGAGCGGCGGCGCTCCCTCCGTGCCGGCGGGCCGCCGTCCTCCCCTCCCCACCGTCCCGTCATCCCCTCCCCTCCGTCCCGTCATGCCAGCGGCGAAAACATGACCGGGCGGCGGAAAAACAAACCGCCCGCTGTTAGCGTTGGGGGCATTCCACGTCAAATCAAACACCGAAATCCGTCATCCCCTTCGATTTTTCTGAAAATTTGTAGGCAGACTGGGCATGGTTCAAAACTGAGTTACGTATAATATTTTCGAAATTTGATAACGTATCGCCGAGATATAGGTCATCGAATATAGCCAAAAATGCCAGACATCATTTTTTTAAATGCTTATAACTCTGGTTCCTTTTCTGGTATCAAAATGATATTAACAGGGTCTTGTAGGCAATTGATAAGGCTTTGATTTTTAATTATAAAATTAAATTGAAGTGACCTTGAAATGCATTTGACCTTGAATTAAAACAGAAAAATTTAAATAGCAAAAAACACGCCACCTTCGATTTGAGTAATTTTTACATATTATGTCCGTCACAATGTTCCTAACCATCTGTGAAAAAATTGGAGTGGGCCATTCATAACTTTCGCGGCAAACGCCGTTTTCATGCATCAACATCACGCAACCGCGCGTGACCTTGAGAGACAGAGTCAAGACATGCTTGCTTGTGTACACTTTCTGAAATGAATGATTGCTGATTAGTGATAACCCAAACTCTGCGAGAATGGAAATGCATAGTCATCGTAGTCAAGCATTCACGTTCCATTGTAAAAGTGTCTCAGGCAAACGGTATTTTGCGGTGAATTTTGAGCCGTGTGGAAATGCATCATGACATAAATTCAACGAAAACATTATCACGCAACGATATCTTCACGTCTTTTGATCTTCACTATACGAAAGAACATACATTTTTGAGTATGTATGGGGAATTTCTAGTTAATCCGATAATAAATATGGCAGTTAGAGTCCTGCTAAGAGTAACATGTCGCCGGCTGAGGCGGGATCGGCCGACGCGGGAAACGCAGCAGTCACAATTTTGTGTTTACACGTTCATATTTCAATTGTTTACCAACCTATTTTCAGAATTCTTTCACCATAAGATTGCCTGTACATTTCTTAGTCTTCTCACAAAATTGGACGCGAATCAAACGTAATTAGCGGTAAGGAGCGCGATGTAAAGACGGAACGTTCCGTTCCGTCCCGGCACAGTCTACAATTCAGGCGGCGGCTAGCGGTCGGCGCCGGCTGCCGAGTCGCCGCGTCGCCGCGGCGACAGGATGTTCACTTTACACCGCTATTACTAGAACAGTTGTGAACCGATTTTCTTATTGCTTGCACGATGAGATGTGCAATTCAATTCTGGACAGGTAGCCATAAGTAATTTCGCATCAATATTATGAGATATTGGCGAAAAACAGGAGGGGTGGGGCGAAATTCACTCTTCCCCCTCCACTGCGCGTGCTAACATACGTTTGCATATGTGCCATTTTCTTCAAAACTTATGAATGGCCCACTCTAATTTTTTCACAGGTTGTTAAGAATATGGTAGGCAATAAAATATATGAAAATGAGCCAAATCGAAGGTGGCGTGTTTTTTGCTATTTCAATTTTTGTGCTTAAGAACAGAGTTAAGCAAATTTCAAGGTCATATATTTAAGTCGATGTAATTCTAAACAAATGCTTAAGAAATTACCTAAAGAGTAAGGCTTATTTCATTCAAATCAAACAAGTACAACCAAAGTTATGGTCGTTCAAAAATATAAAGATGCAACATTTTGTAAAAATTTGATGCCCTATATTTAGAAGACCTGTGGTCAGAATGTGCAAAAAACATCAATGTAATGTCCGGGGCGACACAGGAACTCACTCACAAATTTATAATGAAATCGCTGATGGTAAGGTGCAAAACAGCCGATTTTTGTTCGATTTGACGTGGAATGCCCCGTTGGTCCCTGGACGACGCCGATCGAGGAAGCCTGAGCCCACAAACCCACCTCTCTTCCTACTCATGTGACCTCGATACTGAGCCTCCTCAAACCAGCAGTGGGGCACGTCCGATCAGACAGGATATTTTCTGACGAGCGTCTGTCGAGCTCATCACGCCTCGTCAGCAGGTTCCGGTATGAGGACTCAGAACTCACGTCAGAATTCAAAGAGTCACGCAGCACGCCAGTCTACAAGAGCCGACGCCAGCGTTTCCATAGAAACGTGACGCAGCAAGTGATACGGCATTTCCAGCCGAGGCCATGTCTCGTCATGGATGCGATTCAGCGCTGTGGGTCGGTCACACGCCGCATTCCATTCCATCCCACGATCACGAAGCGCAGAGGAGTCTCCACAAGGACACACTAGCGCCATCTGTTAGCCGAGGCTGGCAGTGGCAGCTACTCCGACGGCGACATCTATCGGCCGGCACTCCGGCTAAAGCAGGGAGTGAGGCAAGACGAGATGAGCAATGAGCATGAAGGAGAGCCACCTCACACCTGAGGCTCCTAGGAGTGAGCTAGAGCCTGATGTCACTTGAGACCATCAAGAGCGTCATGAGACTCACAGCCCAAGTTCTCGACTGCGTACGTATGTTTTGTGGTGGTGAGAAGCCTGGCCACTCCAAGCCAGATTTTTCCCAGACCCTGCCCGCCACCTGGTGACGGTAAGCTTGCACTACAGTTTCCTCCTCTCACCCATCTGGTGGCGGAAGTTTATACTACATAGCTTCCCGAAAATCGGTGATGGGCAGGTGGTTGCACTGTGACACACCGCACACGCCATTTTCACGAGAATTTGCCAGTGACTAGGCAATCAAGCTAAAACTTCTGGGAGTTCAAATGTGAGAGATTGGGCAGACAATAATGTTGCTCGAGCACTTTTATTATAATTCCATAACTTAATTAACAAAGGTATTGCACACACAGGCAAGCGTTCGACATTCGAATTGTTCGTAGTCTTGATAATGCCACACAATTGTACGGCATTGCTGATAAGGGCCGAGCTGAACCGATACCCCCTGCAACTAACAGCATCAACATGCAGCGAACTCTGCCTAAAACAGCTGACTGCTGCGACTTGCAACTAACAGCTAAAGCGGATAGCCTCCCCAGAACTCGAGCTGCGGTCTGACTGTATCGAAACACAGCCACCGCACTGGACCCTGTACAGGACAGACTATCAACCAAACACAGCACTAGGACTCAGAACATGCTACCTACTGGACAAACTGCACCAGAACAGACTACCTGGGCAAACTGCACGGCACAGACTGCCCATGGGAAACAATGCACAAGACACAGACTACCCAACCGCCACAGCCCATTGAACATATTACACCAGGCCACAGACAGCCCACCGGCGACACGGTGCCGGCTTACGCAGTGATGCGTATTCGGCCCAGGATGCCAACATCACTCTTAATAGAAAGCGTTAACAGCGGATTACTGTAGCCCCTAACTGGACACATAGCAGACCAGCAAGCTGACGTCACAATACAAGAGAATACAGCACGTATTCGGACCAGATGGCTATGCTCTACTCGGCAAATATCACCGCTGGCGCCGAGTAAACCAAAACCGTGTAAGCTGACGGATCGGAGGCTGGAAGCTTCTCGCCGCCGTCAGCTGACCAGCATCAGAGTAAACACAATTAAACCCGTCTGCAGGAACAGAGCTGCGCCACTCAGTCAGCCAACTGGGCTGCTGGAGGGGGGAGGGGGAGGGGGAGGGGGACACCGCCGCTCAGGCGGCCGACTGGACTGCTGGAGGGATTGGATCCGCGGTTATCAGCCGGTTCTGTTCTGCGGGTCTTTGGCGGCCTCCTGTGGCCACCAGTCCGGCCGATGGGTGGTCACCACGCAACCGTCATCTTCCAGCGTCAGCTCGGGCGCCGCCAGGCACTCCGCCACCCGCATCAGGCCGATACCGTCCGGCCCACTGACGGCCAGCACTCTGCCCAGCGGCCGTCCAGCGCCGGCGCCGCGCACCGCCGCACCCACAGCCGCGTCTCCGGGAGGCCGCGAGAAGTGCAGCGGCATCACCCGCTTCCTGATTACTCCCGTGTGGTGTGTGCGTGCCGTCAGCTCTTGACCCACGTAGCAGCCCTTGTGGAAGCTGACGCCGTGCAGGTAGTCGGCGTTGTACTCGAGCGGCGTGCAGGCGGCGTAGGGCACCTCGTCGGCGCCCTCAGCCACGCCCAGGCGGTAGCGCAGCGGCCGCGGATCCGGACCGGTCCTGGCCGTCGGCAGCACGTCTCGCGGCAGGGTGAACGCGTCCAGAAGCAGGCGCCAGCCGAGCGCAGCCAGCCGGGGGTCCCGGGACGCCGAGATCAGACCCTGGGCCGGCTGCAGCGGCAGTCCCAGCGGCCCCGTGGCGTGCGGCGAGGCGCCGTGCTCTGTGCACTGGACGGCGGACAGACCGCCGTCGTCGGCACCGGCCGCCTCCTGTACCACAAACACGGCCGTCTGCTCTGTCACGTCGTCAATCTCGATGGCGCGTCGCACCCGGTATATTTTCAGCATGCTCTGCAGCTTGGAGGTCATCGATCGGTCCACCTCGAGGAAGAAGCTGCCGTCATCATCGTGTTGGTGGATCAGCAGGTCGAACAGCACGCGACCCTTGTTGTTGAGCATCATGGCATACATGGCTCGAGCACCGTCCTCGAAGTGGCGCATGTCGTTGGTGACGAGTCCCTGGAGGAAAGGCACCGCCTGCGGTCCCCGCACGCGCACCAGACCTCGCCCGGTCAGCGGGTACATCCAGTGAGTGGGACCGCCGCTCAGCTGACGGACGGACCGGAGGGCAGAGCTGACCGGGCGGCCGCCCAGATGTCGCCAACAGCTTCTGGCCAGCATCGCGGCAAGGGGCGACCAGAAAACCTAGGTGGACCAATAGGGCAGCTCAGAAAGGCATCAACAGAGTGCGTTGCTTTATAAACAAGCTTTTTGTGAGTTTTTTTTTCAGTATAAACGCCATACAGCTTTTACCCCAACTTCCCATACCATACCCGTAATATCAAATGCAAACGAAACTTCTATCCAAATATCGAGGGACGTCATATCTATTTGACTTAAAAAGCAAAAAAGGCTTTTAAAAAATCAATAACGATAAGACAGAAAACTACCTACCCACATGCCTATGATTTAACCTACAGAAATGCAAATTCGCAATTTAACTTCATCAATAGCCCCGAATTGCAAGCTGTTGACTATACCTACTTGTTTGGCTGTAATGATCCAGCCTCAGGCATCGTAATCTGGAACAAAATACTACGCGGAAAAGATAAAGCGACAAGGTGCAACTTGCACGATAATTGGTGCCAAAAATGTCCCATGGAAACCAGATAGCTATGTTCAACAAAGAGGCTATGGCCGGCAGAGCTCACACTGCTAAAGTAAGTCATCTTTGCAATGGAACTTAGTGCTTCTGAAAGGCACAATCAAACGCTACCGTCCGAACAATTTCGGTTCGTTCCTCAAAATTCGTCACCGTTTTCCCGATACCCAGGCCCCGATGGATTTGGCTTTCCAAAATAAATAGATTTTCACTATTGCTGACAGAAATGGAATCTGACAAGAGATGAAAGGAGTAAGGACAGGGTCACGGCGTCGCATCAGTGATACGCAACAGAAAACGTCGAGTACCAGCAGCCGTGGTGGATACGACTGACGAGACAGCCGTGGTGGATACGACTGACGAGACAGCCGTACCAGCGGCCACGGGCAGACGGAGAGTAGTCGACGTAACAACCTGCGACCGTTCGTGGACGGGCCGCAGTGAAGAATACGGCTGTTTGGACACGAGCCACGCCGGAAGTCAGCCGCGGAGTTCAAAGTACGGCCAAGAACGTGTCTAGCCTCGTAGCCTGGGGAGAAGACCACTGCAACTGCCGGGCACAGTAAGCCTGAAGCAGCGTCAACACACCGCACAGGGAAGCAAAGGCAGCCCTTCCTGGGCGACAGCGGATCGGTGACGAATGACGATGCTTCCTGACATGTCGGAGCAGAAGATGGACCAAACCTCCAGAGGCCGACCAGCTAACCGAGGCTGGAACAGAAGCTGAATCCTAAGAAGACAATGCTCAATCGCAAAGGCTAAATGAAACGGGCCTGAAGTGGAGGCTGACAACGGCCTCTTGCACCAAACGACACGGCAAAAATGCTGATCGCATGAAATGCTGAATAGGGACCAACTTTTGTAATGTTGATGATTATTTATTACATTATCTTTTTTCATTATCAGTCCATATACATATCTGCTTTATCCCTCGCGCGAGAGGGGGGGGGGGGGAGGGTGTCGCCCCCATAGTTTTTTTTTTTTTGCAACAGCTCGGGACAATATAGCGATAGAAAACTGAAACCTAATACACGACCTTTGATTCAAGCAAATTTGTTTAAACTAACCGCATTTCAGGTAGGGTCAGGCCACGGTCAATGACCTATGGCGCCATCAGTTAATCTCTGCACGGTCCTAAAATGCTGCAACTTCGCAAAGCCCTCAGTGCCAGAGGACCTTTCATGGGGAGATGAAGCTTCAGAAAATTTTCGACCTAGTATTCTTTAGAGGCCTCACAACTTGTACACCTCGAATTTTGCCTAAGGTCACCTGAGGTCAGGTCGGTCATGTGACCTCACCATTACAAGTCAATGGGGGAAATATGGAAACTGCGATTTTAGCACCGGAAATGATCTAGAACCAGGGCTGCGGAGTCGATGGATTTTGGTGACTCTGACTCCGACTCCGGGAAGAACTGTCGACTCCGGTCTCCGATCGACTCCAACTCAGACTCCGCAGCCCTGCCAGGTCTGCAGAGTCGATGGATTTTCGGTGACTCCGACAACGGCTCCGGTTTCCAAAATCGACTCCTGCACCGACTCTGACTCCGGTTAGTGCTGTCGACTCTGACCGACTCCGACTCCGCAGCCGTCTCAAACTACCCCAAGCATATGTATATTGGATAGTGGATACATGTACTGACGGCATACAAAATGAACTATTAAATGTGTTTAAAATTTAGCTAAGAAACAACTATGAACATGATTGAAGCAAAGCAATGATATATCCGTGACTGTACCTAAACAAAATCTTGCAGATTTCGGTGGTTCCGACTCTAGCTAGAACCGTCAACTGACAACTCCGACCAATGTTGGTCTCAAAGCCATTCTCAGAAACTATCCCATTTTTTCCCAACCCCCGAAATCTCAACATATTGGTATCTGGATCATATGTGGGGTAGGAGCCAGGGTGTGCCTCAGTCTGGTCGGAGATTTAACCCCATAATAAGTTAATGCCATCAACTCTAGCTGGCAGGACTCGTCGACTCTACTGATCTGCTTTAAAATCCCAATGGGTCCAGTGTCATATCATGTCGAACATAGCATGCGTAATAACAGCTGATGTAACAAGCAGCTTGATTTGATTTGCATCTAAGAAACAAGTGGCATGCTTCATTCTGCATTTGACAAATAATACCATGTTTTCTAGACTGGAAAAAACCCATGTTACCGTCGTCATGTACCGTCGACATGGCTAACTGCGCCGAAAGTTCGGCGCACGAATGGACAAATAAATTTTGGCGCAAGTGGACGATTTTAGAACCTTCGGCGTAAGACCACGAGACCTATCCTTACCTAAGTTCACTCGCTATAATCCACGTTCGGATCATAAACAAAGTCGATGATGGGTGCTTAATGTTCATCTGAGGCCACCCGTCCCCTCCCCCTCCCCCCTGGGTCGACATTTGTGACAGCCCTCGGACGATTGGAACCAAGGTGAAGAGTGCGGACTGGGCTGGTTGATATTCGGACTCCTAGCCTCTGAAGTTGTGTCTGGAGTGACCATACCCGCTAGGGGCGACTGGGGGTTTCGCGGGGCTCGAAAAGACTGATCGGATTACTAGGCCCGCCGCCCGAGTACCCTGCCCATGCCCTGTCTGCAATATGCAATGAAGCGGTGCGATTACGTGCGGACTGCGGAGGTAATTTGCTCGCCGAGTCGTCTGAAGAGGAACACAGAAGGTTCGCATGCAGTGGCAGTATGAAGATCGCAGTTCAATACTCGGAATGATTGTCTATTATCCGGTACCGGTGTTTTTTTTTTTTATAAATGTAGTCTGATACTTTTGAATAGAAGGATTCACAAGGACAGAGCCCTGCTAAGCGAAGCTTGTTGCGGTGACCCTGCCCTCTACCCTCCGATCACGCAATTTGAATTCCGGTTCTATGGCAGAATTTGGAGTCCAAAATTTAACGTGCGCACATAGCCGCGCACGGCTGGCCCCTCACTGACTTCGCCTGGCTACGGTCTGCCACCAACCGCAACCTACCTGGTAGGAGGCACATTAACGTCAAGCGCCCGTCACGCTTCGAACCCGGACTGTTATAACCGAGAACGCGTACTCTCACCACACGGATTCCAACGCTCTACTGAAGGGCTAATGCTAAATGGCAAATTATAGGAATTTCAATTAACTAATGTCTGAACCAGGACAGGTGGGCAATGTGACCACCCTTTAAATGTTTATGGCACAGATAGATGTGCATGACTCATGAGCTTAAGTGTTCAAAGAGGTTAAAATTTAGCACAAACAAGCTTCAAATTTCTGGGGAAATTTTGCAAAGATTTCAGCACAAAGTCATTTGCTGTGAATTTTGACGCATGAGCCCCCAAAGGCTAGGTGTCCGGCAGTGTATGGATTTTTTCCAGTCTCAGTCTGGCATGTTTTGATAGAAAACCACCATAGATCACATCCCTTCTGCTGCGGATTGCCTGTTCATGGCCTACCTCAGAGAACTCCAAAATCCTGTGCTCCTCCCTTTCTTCCGGTCTTCAGAGCTCGGTTTCGACTCAGACTTCAGGTCCTTCTCACTTCTGAGGGCCAAAGATAGAGAATCCGAATCAAAGAGGGACAGGGAGGCATCCCAATCCTGTAAAGTTAGTCTGTTTTCATCCGCTTAAAGTTAGGGCCTGTTCCAGCGCCTCCAGTAGAAATTCTTGACTGGAGGCTCTACCAGAGGTTTTACTGGAGGCGCTGGAACGCAATCTGGAGATTTCTGGAGATTGGCATCACATATACCAAAAGAGTGACGATTGTTCTCTCTTGAAACGCAAAATTTGTTTTCAATTTTATTAAGAAAGATTAACAAAATTATAGCAATGTAATTTTCTTTACATTCAAGTAGTAAAATTATCAGTGAAAAGTCCATTGTTTACACTCGTGATTGTCACATGTGCGCCATAATTGTAGACCAGAGCCTCCAGAGAAATTTGGGGCCTGTTCCAGCGCCTCCAGAAAGCTCCAGAAAGCTCCAGAAAGCTCTAGAATCCTCCAGAGAGCGTTCCAGCGCCTCCAGAAAGCTCCAGAAAGCTCTCGCCAAAGCTCCAGAAACCTCCAGTAGCCTCCAGAGAGTTGGGAGGTCCAAATTTCTCTGGAGGCTCTGGTCTACAATTATGGCGCACATGTGACAATCACGAATGTAAACAAAGAACTTTTGACTGAGAACTTTACAACTTGAATGTAAAGAAAATTACATTGCTATAATTTTGTTAATCTTTTTTACTAAAATTGAAAACAAATGTTACATTTCAAGAGAGAACAATAGTCATTCTTTTGGTATCTATGACGCCAATCTCCAGAAATCTCCAGATTGCGTTCCAGCGCCTCCAGTGAAACCTCTGGTAGAGCCTCCAGTCAAGAATTTTTACTGGAGGCGCTGGAACAGGCCCTTGGACCTCCCAACTCTCTGGAGGCTACTGGAGGTTTCTGGAGCTTTGGCGAGAGCTTTCTGGAGCTTTCTGGAGGCGCTGGAACGCTCTCTGGAGGATTCTAGAGCTTTCTGGAGCTTTCTGGAGGTTTCTGGAGGCGCTGGAACAGACCCTTCTGTTTTCATCCGCTTAGACCAATCAGTTACCAACAAGGCTGAGGAAGAATTAGAGTTCAGTGGGAAGAATACAGGCGGCCAACAGCTCCGCAACCCTAGAAAATATCAATATTGATATAAATGTAATCAACAGCTCTTACCTCATTTGCTTCTTGAACTTATGTAAACAATTCAAGACTTCAAGATGTGTTTTTTATTCAAGGTTTGGGTATTCTTTGATCCCCTCGCTTCGAAATAGCGTCAAACAATCTTGGACCAAACATCTTGGACCAAACCAGCCTGACTCGAATTTTTATTCGAGATTCATATCATTTTGATTCTTCTAAGTAGACGTTTTTTTCGAATTAATCCAAATCTGTCAATTTCATGCTATATTGCATTTTTTCAAAGGGTTTTGACTGATAAATACCATTTTGCATTCTGTATTGATGACGTCATTAAAAAATAAGTTGATTTTGAAACCCCTTAATGAGCCTTGCGCGCATGAGACGTTTGCGGTGGTATTGATTTTGCACTGTGGGATGAGATACGATAATATTTTTCAATTACGATCAAGGCCATTACGATACTAATCGAACGATTAGGGATAAGCCAGTCCCATGCTTAAAGGCTCAGGCAAGTCCCCCATCTCAATATCATTGAGACGGTGGATTCAGCCCACTGCCCAGCCGTCTGGCTCAGCCACATTTATCAGTCCCTGTCATCCCTGGGCAAGAGGCGAAGTCGCTGACCTTTCTCGAGGAGACCCAACCCCAACTGCAATTCAGACTACAATAGAACATAACTCAAACTACCTGGAAGTTGGACACTAGAGCCAAGCTGCTGTGCGCCCAACTCTTCAATAACAACAACATTCTGAAGGAGCGGCAAGGCAAAGAAGGCCAAAGGTATGGTGCTCATTGTTGCAATATTGATATTTACCAAACCAGTTTCTCACTTCAATTATTGAAAGTGGCTAAAGCCCCAAATTAGACATATTCACAAAGGTGTTGCAAATACGTTCTCTGAGAAAGGATCTTACATTTCCTAATTATTAGCATGAGTAAAATGCTTAGCTGGCAACATGCTATAGCTGACACATGACAGGAGTGAGGAGTGAGTCAGTTTTGGAGAGCAAGTCTTGCACATGCATAATTCTGAAGTTGGTTACACCTGCCTTTAAACCACCCGCCCTAAGAATCACAGGAATTCTCAAAATACCTTGGTGGAAGGAAAATGCAAGAGCACTCCGTGACTTGTTTTTTTCCATTTTTCAGTCCCGGCTGCAAAAATGGTTGCTGACAAGGGCCCTTTGCCTCCTGGCTGGGAAATGAAATGGGACAGCAGGCGTGGAAAAGCGTAAGAACAACAGTCATAACTGACCTTTGATTTTTAACCTAATGTTATAGTTTAAATAACAAAAGCTGAATGTCATGATTCACTTTCAAGTGAATATACATTGTCAATTTTGAACATTTCTCTGGGAACTTTATTGATGGCCTTTTTGATGGATGGATTTTATTGACTTACAGGTATTTCATCGATCACACGTCTCAAACTACCACCTGGCAGGACCCAAGAGACCAGCATGGAAGCTCACAGGCGCAACAACCGCAGGCTCAGCAGCAATACCAGTCACAGTGGCAGTGGCAACAACAACAGCAACAACAACACCAGCCACAACACCAGCCTCAGACTCATCAGCCACAGCACCAGCCACAGACTCACCAGCCACAGCACCAGTCACACCAGCCACATGGGCAGTGGCAGCAACAGCAGCAACAGCTACAACATCAGCCTCAGACTCATCAGCCACAACACCAGTCACAGCACCATTCACACCAGCCATCACACCAGCCACATGGGCAGTGGCAGCAACAGCAGCAACAGCTACATCAGCAACATCAGCCACTGCATCAGCAACAGCATCACCAACAGCCACATCAACAGCAGCACCAACAGCCACAGTGGCAGTGGCAACAGCATCAGTCACAGCCACAGCCGCAGCAAACACAACAAAATGACAGCCATCATCAGCACGGCCTCCCGTATCCCAGTCGCCCACAGCAGCAGGAGCAGCAGCATGCTAATCATCAGCACTCCGCGCTCCCGTACTCTGTTCAGCCCCAGCAGGGTGAGCACCACAGCCACTTTGCCCACCACATTCACCAGCCGCCCACCCCGCCGGTGCAGACTACAGAGAGCGCTCAGCGGCCGGCAGCGACCGACTCGCCGCTCAGCGTGCCCCGGCAGGCGGCCTACGGCGGCCAGCCGGCGGCGCGCCGCTCCAGTCAGCTGTCCGTGCCGCCCGGTCAGACTCAGGTGAGAGGACCTCCCATCCTCCTCTGAGGCGTCCCATGGTCAGACTCAGACTCAGGTGAGAGGAGTGCCTCCCATCCTCTGAGGTCAGAAACAGGCGAGCAGTGTACAGCGCCAAGTGTCCAGATCAAGTCTTATAATGCGTCGTCTTTCCATGACTTATGAATTATTCCAGTTATGTGAGTAAGTCATGAATGTGGGCGTATATTTTGTCGGCGGATATGTTTACACCGCTGCTTTCTCCCGTCGATGTACATGTACGTACATGATGTACTTTCTCCCGTCGATGTAGTTTGGCACCTGTCTGTGCCTGTGTGTGTATGCACCGGCGACCGGCAGCACGGGAGACGGCTCGTTGGCGTCCGTCTGTCTGTGTATGCGTCTGTGTAGACGACCAGTCTGTATGACGTGTGTGATAACTGATAAATGTGTATTTACAGACGACCGGGGGAACAGGCGGCGGCTCGCTGACGTCCGAGGAGTCTGGCACGGAGCGGCCGGTGACCGGCACCGAGGCCGTGCCGCGCATCTGCGCTCTTTTCCCCCATATCGAGCCGCACGTCATCAGCGACCTGCTGACAAAGTGAGAACCGCAGCGGACGGCCGCCACGCTTACCGATACATAATAATCGATGTTGTAGCAAATATGGATCCATACTCATTTCTTAATGTAGGATGTGGGCAACTGTCTGGCACTCATTTCCCATACACTCACCATAGCCTCAGCCGCTCATACCTATAGCCCATTGCTTTTCGACAAGCGTATGTGGTTTGCGATGTGCGACAGGTACTGAACAGTGAAGTCGATATGGTAATGGATTGCGTTTTACACCCGAGCGCACGTCGTACCCCAGGCAAGGAGGTGATCAGTATTGACCTGTGCGGTATGACTGGTCGTGGGTCGCGTTCCGTGGTGCTCCAGGTACAGCAGCCGCGAGGAGTTTGTCAGTGTTGATCTGTGCGGTGTAACTGATCGTGCGTCGTGTTCCGTGTTCCCCAGGTACAGCAGCCGCGAGGAGGTGGTGATCGCCGCGCTGAGCGTCTCCCCGCCGGCCACCGAGGCCGACCACGACCACAACCAGTCGGCAGACTCGGAGGACTCAGCCACCAAGATCGGCGCCCTGTTCCCCACCGTGCCCGAGGAGCGCATCCGAGAGCTGCTCAAACGGTGCCAGCATGCATGCGCCCCGTGTCCCTCACAGCGCCCCGGCCGCCCGCCGCTAACGCACTCTGATCGGCTGGGCTTCTCACACAACCGCTCACCGCAGGCTAGCGGCTGGCCTGCAGATCGTGTTTGCACAGGGGCGCCGCCTTGTATGGGACGTGAAGGCGTACTTTAATCTAATCAACTGAGTTCAGTACTACGTCTGAACGATTATTTTGATACTTACCTTTTTGGAATAACCTTTTTGGCTAGGGTTTGGCTTTAATCATTCATTGGTTTGCTAAGCTTGACTTTATCTATTGGCATGCTAATGTTTGGGCAACGAGCACTGGTGCTTTTGACCTTGGCTTTTGATACGAGCTGCCAGGTTGGTACGTTGGGTCTGACGACTGCTGTGGCACCCTGTTTCGTGACGCCTACTAACCGCACGGCGGAGGTGTGCGGGGACGGCAGTGACGGCGGCGCGGGCAGTGACGCTAACGGCGGCTCGGCAGGTACCACCAGCGCGAGGCGGTGGTCATCTCGGCACTGCAGGTCCAGCGCCACCCGCTGGTCATGCCCGGGCCGCTCGGAACCCCGCCCTCGTTCCGGGCTGCCGCCGCCGCCGCCGTCGCCACCGCCAGTCCCTCGCTGGCCGCCACGACCACGCCGCGACACGCTTCCCCGTCACCGCCGTCGTACGGAGCGCCTGCGGCGGGAGCGGTGACGGGCCCGGGCTCTCCGCGGCCCGGCTCGGCCGGCAGTGGCGCCACCGTCTCCTGGCCGTCGCCTGTGCTCGGCTACTCGTCTCCGCGTCCGGACGGCCAGCCGCGACCCCACTCGTCGCCAAAAATGAAGCTCAGGTCAAGCTCGGCGGGGTGGGCGGCCCGCCGGGCCGGGTAGTGTCGGCTCTGGCTGGCCTGACTGTACCCAGTGCGTAGCTGACTAGCCGGCGCTGCGTGTTCCGATCGGTGGGCCGGCGAAAACGTCGTAGCTGCGGCTGAAGCGACCCCATCCGGTCGACTGCCGCTGAAGGTTTCTGACCTGCGGTGGAGCCGAACTGCGCTTATCGTCGAGCCCGAACAGTGCATGCCGTCCCGCACGCTGCACCTCTCTGCACGTGACTACCTACCTTATCTTCGTGGGAGACGGTAAATAAGGCTACAGCGACTGGGGACGGGTGCACGCTAGGAGGGGAGGGGTGCATCGGCATGGTTCTGTTTGGTTTTGGCTTACTGTCGACTGGGCATTTTCAGATGACTCTAAGTTTTGACTTCTCAAGCCCACTTGATCCCAAGAAGCGCCCTTTTCATTGGTCCGTAACGTAGCTTGGGCTGGGTCGTTCAATTGATTTGAAATTCGAATAAATACACGCTTTCTTAGCATATCCAGTCGGCAATAAGTCACTTCCAAACTTAGTAGCGCCTGCTTCTTATTTTAGCAACATCAGACATGCCCGGGCACCATCTTTGCTAGATTTTCGCCCCATTTGCTTGCATTTTTACGAATGAAGGACTCTTCTGACGAGAGATCAACATGATGGCGATGTAGACTCGGCTGGGCTCTTTTTTATCTTCAAAGCCTCACAACATCACAACCAATGAAGGTGACTAGCAATGTGTCGCAAATGGTGCCCGGGTATCTTTGATGTAGTCTGTGTGTTTCACTCTACCATATACCTATATGTATGTAAATACGCATAGTTCAGCGTGGCATCAAGTAATAACATGCATCGTTTGCCAAAACAGCCCAGTTGTACTATTACCCTGCAAGTGTGACTGGATTCAGCATAGGTATCTCTGACATTGACGTTTTGTGTCAGTAGTTGTTATTTGCACTACTAAAACGTTCCCAAGTGCAGTGCTTTCATTCGTTCATCGCACCGCTGTTCCGACGACAGCGAGCAGCTCCCGATGTGCGTCGCTGGTGTCAATCGGGACGGCTTCAGTACCCTCCCTTTCTTCAGGTGGTCCCGTCTGACTGTTGCGTGCCGCGCCGGCTAACGGGAGCCCCATGCTGCGCCACAGGTACCTGAAGTCAGTGTTCCCAGAGGCCGATGAAGCTCTCCTGTTGGATGTGCTCACCAACTGCGACAACAGCGTGCAGAAGGCCGGCATCCGCCTCACCAGTACGTGGCAGTGCCGGGGCTGGTCTGCCGTAGGGGGTGGAGGGGAGGGTGGGGCAGTTGCATGTCTTTTGTGGGGGGAGTGGGGGTGCAACGCGGTCTTATTTGGTGTTTATTGTCATTATTTTTGACAATATTCATTTTGATTGCTTGTTTCTATGTTATCTTTCGAAAAAAATAGCACATTTCATCATGATCATGGATAATGTATGCCCCTGTGTGACACCGTGTAACTTATGGATGCCGCGGCGGATTAACGTTCTTACGTTTCGCACACAGGCATGGGGTACGACAAGAGCGAGACGCCCGTGGTTCCCGCCCGGTTCGACCTGCGTCACCAGCGGGACGCGGCTGTGGTGCGGCGGCCCGAGAGCCCACGGCAGCCGGAGCCGTCCCCTCGCTCCCGGCTGGTCATCTCGGAGACCGAGCGACAGCACGGTACGTAGGCGCGGGGATACCAGAAAGCAATGGCCAGCCACGAGGACTTACTGATATCTGGCGGGTGTCTTAACACCACTAATGTGTGCCGTGTGTTGCACATCCCGTGACACCGTTCTGGGTGGGTATCCCGTGACCCCGGACCTACATATATTACATTCTGTGACGATGAACCGTGTACAATGTGTCGGACAGACTGCGACGCTCCGCTGGATCGTGTGGCTCTCCCGTGACGCTGACCTATGACGGTCTGTGTCTGACAGCCCGAGACGCCCTGCTGCGCGACTTTCCGTCCGTCTCGGAGGAGGTGCGGAAACTGGCCCTCGAGTCGGGCGGCTATGACCTCGAGCGGACCCGGAGTGTGCTGGAGAGCATGGTAGAGGGTCGCGGCTCGTCGGCGGCCACGGTCACCGACGCGGCGCCGGGCTCGGCACACACCAGGTCAGTGACCTGTCACCCCGCCAGTGCTCCGGTGGCCTGCTCAGTGCGCCGGTCGCTTAACGACGCAATTGCATCTGGGATTGGCTGTTTATTCTGCACCTTAAACATGATACCGATGACAACTCGATACCATATTAGTTTGGAGCCTAGACGTAGCGTTTCATTGCCCAACTTCATTATGACACGGCGAGTGCAATTGTTCTAGAAACTACGTCCTTGTCCGAGCGGCTTTGTGTATAAACGTGCATCTGATAGTGTTGATAAATGATTACGTCTGAGTCGACTCGTAGTCTGTCGTTTTGAACCTTGTACCGTGGAGGGGCCATGTGGGCAGTGTGTTCTGTGGGCGGGGCTGAGCCGCGGCGCCGGCTGCTGATAGGCACTGGGTTCGGTCGCTGACGGCCCGCTCTGTCGCCCCTCAGCAGTGAGCCGGCCGCCGGTCCGTCCCCGAAGCACAGTTCACCCCGCTCGCCGCGGCGCGTGGCCCGCGTGCAGGCGGAGACGACGTCCACGTCCAGTCCTCTGGCCAGTCCGAGCAGAAAGGCGCGCGCCACAGCGGCCGCTCAGCCACCCAGGTGAGAGCTCAGGAGCCGCCCAGGTGAGAGTCGAGTTGCCGCCCAGGTGAGAGCCCAGGAGCCGCTCAGGTGAGTGTCCAGGAGCCGCCCAGGTGAGTGCCAAGGAGCCGGCGGACTCCGGCCTCTCTGACTCCGACCAAGTAGTCGTGCTGTATGCGACACACTGGATCATTGCACGTAATGATCGAGCCGTGTGACGGTTTATCTTCTGAGGTGGTGCGACTGAGATAATGCGAGCGAGGGTGTACGGGACTGTTATGTCAACACCTAATCATCCTAATCATAAAACGCATCAATCTGTTCTTATAACCACTTTTTTCTTCTTCAGCTGAGTTATCACCGTTAGGATAATCAGCGGGCTATGTAAGGAAAATCTCGTCAGTCCTCGCCGGCATCAAAACCACCCCTCCTGAACAGCTCACACTGCTCGGCTCACCGCTACAAGAGGCTGGGCTTGGCGACTCTGTCAGAGCAGCCCACACGACTATCAAACTGCTGTGCAGTCGACTCCGCCTCCTCGATCGACACACAGCTCTGTTCTTCTTATCGAAGTACGTAGCTGCCCCGCGAGTGCAATATCTCCTACGTTCATCGCCAGCCTATCGGGAGCCTGCAGAGCTATCCCGAATCGACAGCACAGTTCGTCTCACGCTCCAGGAAGTTGGTAACGTGGCACTGACAGACGAGGCCTGGGAGCAGGCTGCACTGCCCCAGAGGCATGGCGGGCTCGGCGTGCGCTCCGTGCACGCTCTCGCTCTGCCCTGCTACTTGTCGTCTCACCGCAGCAGCACCGCTGGTCTTATCTATCTGCCCTTCAACCTTCACGGGCCCTGAGCCAGCGGCACTGCAACCAGCCACGGAGCAGTTCATGGCTGCAACTGGCATCGAGACTGTTCCAGAACGCCCGGCGGCCAGCCTCCAAAAGACCTGGGACGACATCGCGTCAACTGTCACCGCTAACCGCCTGATCGCCGGAGCCAATCAGATACATCGCGCTCGTCTCGGTGCTGCTTGTATGCCGCATACTGCAGCCTGGCTGCAAGCACCTCCAATCCCCAGCCTGGGACTGTACATTGATGACGAGACCATTCGTATAGCGGTAGCCCTCCGACTAGGCCTGCCCATCTGTGAGCCCCACCAATGCAAGCTATGTGGATGCCCTGTGGACAGGCTGGGACACCACGGCCTATCATGCAAGAAGAGCGCCGGTCGCTTCCCACGGCACGCAGCCCTAAATGACGTCATTAAACGAGCACTGGCAAGCGCTGGCGTACCATCGGTCTTAGAACCTGTGGGGCTAGACAGAGGAGATGGAAGGCGCCCCGACGGACTGACAACGTTCCCCTTCAGTGCCGGTCGAAGCCTCACATGGGACGCCACGTGCGTTGACACGTTTGCTGAGTCACACGTGGTGAAGTGTGCAGTGGATCCCGGCGCAGCTGCAGCCGCCGCCGAGAACCTGAAGCGCATGCGCTACGCCAGTCTTGCAGACCGCTACATCTTCACTCCAGTAGCAGTGGAGACTACCGGCGTAGTCGGAGAAGCAGGGTCAAAGCTGCTCCGGGATATCGGCGGTCGGATTTCTGCGGCGACTAAGGACCCCAGAGAAGTGTCCTGGCTTCTACAAAGAGTCTCGATAGCAATCATCCGGGGAAACTCCGCCGCTATCCTCGCCACAGCCCCTCCTGAAGCTGGTCCCCATCACGTTGGGTGTGTCGCAGGACGCGCGTCTGGCCCGGCAGAAGAGTCGGACTCAGCCGTAGACGCAGAAGTAGCTCCACCAGCTTCTTCATCAAAATCCAGCGTATTTAGCCAGCTCATCAAGAATGGGAGAAAGCTAGCCCCAAGCGACTTCGAGGTTCCATGGGGCGAAATATTTGGTGCAAAACCAAAGCACTAACGGCATATGAGTGGTAGTGTCTAGTGTGTCATCGAAATTTACCCTAAGGAAAATAAATATGGGGTCTGTTGTGATTGTGTCGTGTATAAATTGTGTCGCCTGAGCCCGCCCCTGCGCGGGCGACCCGCCGGCGGAGCTCGGCCCGCCGGACGGAGCCTGGGGCCGCCCCTGCACCGCCCGGTCGGCTGGGGGGGGGGGGGGGCTACAATGTCGGGGCGGGCTAGTCGTTGATCAGACCCTGAGTGGTGCGTGTGTCCAATAAAGCCAGAAAAGAACACGATCTTTTCGGGCGGAACGGACAGAGTCTGTTGGTCGTGCAAGATTCGACTGTTCCTCATTGCAGAAACTGGAAGAATGTTACTGAGTGTAGGCCGTCGGGAGGTGTTCAGTGTTTCGATGAGTGTTGGGCGGGGACGCTGACAGTGTGTTGCTCACATGTTTCAGCGGAGGACGCAGCACCAAGATGGAGTACCGGTCTCAGAACAGGACGGCGGCGCGTGGAGCCGACAAAAGCCTAGTGCGCGGACCCCAGTCGACCAACCTGCTGTGAGTAGTTGGCTCTCCGCCACCCGGCCGGGCCCCGACTGGGACGGCCAGGACAGGTCGTGAGCGCCGAGCCGTCGTCAGTCAGCTGCTTGTTTAGTTCATTAGTGATTGGTAAGTCGCTCGGCTTTTAAATCATTTGGTCAGCCAGTCGTTGATGCAGTCAGTCGGTAAAATATTAACTCACAGTCATCCAGTTTCTCAATGCCCAGAAGTGGGCGTGATGGTGTGTTTTAGTGTGTCAGGTTAGTCTTTGTTTAGGTGGTTGTGCGTTTGTAACTGACTCCGTTCTGTGGCTCAGATCCGACTACATCGCTTGGAATGGTCCTGACCCGGAGCTGCGCCACGGCCCCAACCCCGAGCTGCGAGCCGGCGTGCAGGCCGGCCGCGCCAAAGGTGGGTCAGCAGCCGTCACCCGTGGGGCTGGCAGACAGCCGACAGGGTCTGATGGTGTTACTGGCACTGGTGGGTCGGGCATTATATCTGTTACTGACAGAGTTTGGTGTTATCTCCTTACTGACAGATCTGGTCTGTCTCTAGTCACTGACTGGGCGCAAAATGACCTCGCAGTCGGCGCGCCCCTAACCCCCAACAAAGAAACAAACTCTAGTCACTGACTATTGTCCGCCAATGTCCCTCCCACTGACAGGTGTATTCTGTTGCAGGCGCCGACGGCAGTCTGTGTCGCGGCCACTGACTGTTGTATTTTGTTACAGGCGCCGACGCCAGTCTGTGTCTCGGCCCGTCGTGCGCCACCATCAAGCAGTACGCGCGCTCAGTGCGCCGCATGCTCGTCACCAAGCTGTAAGTCATCCGCCCTGCCGGCCTCTGCTGTCCTACAGCGGCCTCATAGTGTGAGCGTCCGGCGGACAGTGTTTCAACGGTCCGGTCGGAGGCCGCGCAGGCTAACTAGGCCGTCCACCTGGCCGACCGACCACGGCAGCCGGCACCGGGGACAAACAAAGGCGAACTTGTGGAGGTTAGCCACGGAGTGTATCAGCGCCTTTTTGAGTTTTATTTCGTATGGAGTCACCGCCTAGCCAACATCAAAACATGACGAATGGCAAGACATTGTACAACTGCCGGCTTATCTGCTTGCCTATCTGTATTTTACCGGTATCGTTAGCTATGCGACGTTGAAGTAACGCTAAATCTTAGTAGCTGCATGGTGCTGGATGGATGAGTCACTTTAATCACCGCTGGTTGGTTCCTTTTGGATGGCGCGTACCGTCAAAGTCCAGCCAGAAGGTGCCACCTCTTGCAGTATGCCTATAGAACCGCCTGTGCCATAACTGTTCAGAGTTTTTGTCAGTAGTGGGGGACAGCGGGAATGTTCATTAACAGAATTGAGAAGGAACTAGTCTGCCATTTTACAACTTGTAGTCGCTGAGTTTGCTGCCATATGTTTTGGTATATTTGTGGAAGATGAGTGTAATTAGTCAACTCCCAGGGCCAGTCATTCGGGTTCATTTATACGCGTGCAATATGAAATTGTTTACTTGGCCCAAGTTGCCATGACATCCTTTTATTATTTACAACGGAGCTTAATGGATTTTGTTCGCGTGCTTTTCCGCGGGTTTGTCCGCCTAGTAGCTCAGCGCGGAGGGCATCTAGTTTCTAAGATGAAGATGCTTAGCTTAGTTGGTGTTCGTTGGTGTGTCCAGTGTCAGTGTGTCAGTGTTCTAGGGAGTGTGCCCTGTCTGCCTCGCTCGGCGCGCAGTGCGCTAGGGAGTGTGTCCTGTTTGCCTCGGCGCGCAGTGTGCTAGGGAGTGTGCCCTGTCTGCCTCGGCGCGCAGTGCGCTAGGGAGTGTGCCCTGTCCGCCTCGGCGCAGCTGCAGCCCGTCGGGCGTTTTGGACCGCTCGGCGTATAGGCCACCAGCTATGCACCCCGCGTATATCAGACTTGGGCATTTACCTTAGAGCGTGTCAAGAGTATCCGAGCGTGGCACGCATCAGTCAATAAGCAACATTATAGTTTCCAAGTAATATATTTTCATTAACTTGCTACTGAAAAAGTATATTTTTCAATGCACTGCCGTAAAAAAACCTTTTAGGGTTAGACATCGCAAGAACGGTTGCCCAGATAATGCAATGCCCGTTTTCCAGCCTGCCTGCCGATTCGCCGTCGCTGTTTAAGATCTGATATTTTCTAGCTGTAGTAATTACATCAACATAAATTTGTACGCATCACTTGAATGTAGAACGATGTGAGGTGGCAGGGGCGGCGCCCGCCGTGGCTGCTTGTGTCGCCCGCCGGTAACGCTGCGACGGTAACCGGTCACCGGCTGTGTGTCGGCCGATCGACCCCAGTGCGAGCCTGCCTACAGCCGTGCCCGGTGTGAGTTCTGCTCCGCCCCGGAGATAGGTCGCTCGTGCCTGACTGCGTTTGTGTTCGGATAGCGGCCGCTGGACGACTGAGAGCGCTTATGGACCGAGTCCGTCCGGTGGCTCCGCCGACGCCGAGGCCAGGCTCGATGCGCCGCGCTAATGCCCATGTATTCTGTGTTGTGATGTGTGCTGGCACCGCCGTACCCTTTATCCACTGCAGTATTGCATAAAAAGCCTTTGTCGTGAACGTCTTGTGTTGAGAGAGAGGTCAGACTATGTGGGTGATCGGAGACGAATAATTGGAGGCTGCTTTTTACTGTCAGTCAGTGCTACAGAAGCATCTGTGTGTTTGCACACACACGTCACCGCTCCAATGACGAGAGGAATACCATGATTTATTTAAACTGAGCGGCATCCATAAATAGATGCATCCTAGGGCGATGATTCGTACAAACACCGCACACCTCCCTGTAGCAGTACCCAGGGCTAGAATCCGCTCTTCGTTGCCGCACATGAAGAGGAGCTGTAAACCTACACCGTCCATTTTGCCGGTTCTCCGCCCAGGAACGCGATTTGATTTTTACGCAGATGAAGATATCCTTCCTGGCGGGACCGAGTAGGTACTGACGTGCAACTCCAAGCAATGCTTATTTATGACCGTCATTCGCAACCAATAAAGTGGAACTGAGGCCCTACCATATTGTCGGATCCATAAAATAAAAGAAGACTGATGACATTGTTATCCCGTTTGATTTCGCGTTTGCATGTGTACGCCGACAATTCTGTTCCAGAATTAATCAAGCGTGAAGCTTCAATGACCACCTATCATAGAGCATAAATCTGACCCCGGAATAAGAATGCAAGGTCGCTGCACTGGCTGCTGCATGGTCGGCAGGCGGTGGTCATTGGTGGCGCGAGGCTCGACACGTCCGCTGCTCTCAGAAAGGTGAGCACTTCTCGGGGAAAAATAGCAATTACGGGAAGAGCTCCACTGTGCTTTTAACGTCACCTTAGAAATTGCTGATATCTGTTTGTTGATAAAACTGCCCTACAATTACAGGGTGTCCCATAAGTTCGTTCTCATATTATGTTTGCATGTGAATCAGAGTACATTGCGTTTTTATATATTTATGACCCCTCAATGTGCTCCCCATTTAATAGGCAAACACATGAATACATGCTGCGGCATGCCAACCGGCATGTTTGGCTGCATAGCAGGCTTAAAGTTAACCCAGACTGACTTGACATGCGCCGTGAGCTCCTCGAGGCTGGAACAGCGCTACGCTTCGACGAGCCTCAATTTCAGCACAACCAACAAATTTTTATGAAATTTTGATCCGATGAGGTGCCTGGCATGTGATCTTGCCACAAACGCCTGTCACAGTCTCCTTGCACCGCTTTTAAGCTTTGCTTGACCTGTGCACTGATGCACTGTCTTGCCTGAAGATGGGCCTACGACCTCCCGAATGCCATTTTCTCCTCTATAAATGTGTTCATACTCGCGGTTTGAGTTCAGCTTAAGGGCTGAAACTCCTCCTAGATGTTCTTGGAAAAGCATTCTGCTTCCCAAAACTGTTTCTGGGTTGCCACTTGCAACTTGGTCAACTCCAGAACGCCTATAACCCCACAACACAGTGACCCTGGCCTTTTGCATAGGAACATAACGGGACGAAACGGAGGCCTCCTCCTTCGCCCTTATGGGGTTGTTTTCGGGTTTGGACGGGTGTTTCATCTCGATCGTGGACTAGTTAGTCCAGATGACCTGGTTGATGTCATCAACCCTCTAGTTTTGTTTAGCCGCAGGCATAACGAAACTCATGTTTGGCCATTTTAAGACGTTTTTGACTGTTTTGTGCCCTCCGGTAAGCAAAGCTTAAGTCACCTTGAGTTATGTACCCCGAAAGAACCCTCTTAGACAGCTGGTAATCCATCCTGAAAAGTCTGCTTACCAACTTTCTAACTCTTTGACCTTTTTGATGGCCACTTTGGCGCCACACAGTTTTGGCCACTTGGCTCACTCCTGAGGGCTGACTGGAAAGAGGATAAACTTGCAGTGATTGACTCCCGACAAATCATCGGCGTCACCTGCTGACTGTGCGTAGAGTTAGCGATGGACATTGGCTACAGACTGGTAGGCCTCAATCACCCTCAATTGTCGCGAATGGTCACGTGCTGACTAAATACTGAGACGTACCCGTATCAGAGACCTCTCTGTTGCGGCGTGAGCCGTCTCTGTAGGAAGCGGGCTCTCTAGCAAAAACTATTTTGCCTACAGAAATTAGCTACTGTGGAGCATATTTCTACCAGCCATGGCAACCACGTAAGCTCAGTTACGAACCAATTTCAGCGTGCCTTTAAGCAAGAGAGCCTAAAAACGTAAAATTTAGGTGAGAACGAACTTATGGGACACCCTGTAGATACTACGTTGCAAATGGCATCCTCTGGCCTCCATGTAAAGTCATGTCGAGGATTTTGTCGTGTGGTTGGAGTTATGTTCCGGAGCAAAATTTGTTAAGTTTTGCCCTGATCAACTTTTGGAACAGTTTCCTTTTTGCGTTTTTAAATCGGTGGCAGTCGATGCATCAACCAGTTCAGGCCCAATTTTTAGTCTGAGCCATTGCTAATCCCAGGTTGCTCCAGCCGATTGCGTGAACCCGCAGAGTTGGTTGGGGCTCCTCGCCAGGCCTCTTTCTGCCACCTACCGCAAGATGCTGGTGTTATCGGCTCTGCCAGTGGCTCTGGCTGTTCTGGCTGTGTCTCGCTCGGCAGCCGCGGTCGGCCGGCGCTCGCCGCGCTCCGCGGACGACTCCAGTCTCGGCGTGCACCACTGCGCCAACCACCAGCCCCACACGCTCGACCGCTACCCAGTGGGCGGGCCGGCCGCCGGGTGCGGCACCGTGGTCCGGCGCGGCGTCACAGAGACAGAGCGGGACGATATCGTCTCGGCGCACAATGTCATCCGGCGCGCCGTGCGAGACGGCCACTACGCCGACCAGAACCTGCCGGCGGCCAGCGCGCTGCCCGAGCTGCGCTGGGACGCCGAGCTGGCGCTGGTCGCCCAGCGCTGGGCCGACCAGTGCCGCGGCGGACACGACCAGTGCCGCGACGTGGCCCGATTCCCGGTCGGCCAGAACTTCGCCTTCGTGTGGAGCGGCGGCCGGCAGAACTGGACGGCCGAGGCGCTGCGCCAGTGGTTTGCCGACGAGTTGCCGCTGTTCCGGCAGGCCGACCTGGAGTTCCGCGGCGGCCAGGACCCCGTGTCGGGCGGCTACACGGGCCACCTGACCCAGCTGCTGTGGGCCCACACCCGGCGCGTCGGCTGCGGCTTCATGGCCGTCGCCGACCCCGTCTTCTGCGAGCGGCGAACATACGTCTGCAACTACGGACCGGCCGGCAACGTGCTCTTTGAGCCCGTCTACCCGACCGAGGCGTCCAGGGATGGACCGACAGAGTGGGAGGAGGGAGAGGTTTGAACGGGCGGGCCGGTCTGCTGAGGACCGTCGATGGGTACCGGTATGCCGACTACACGTCTGAAACGTTACAGCTGATCAGTACATACAGGCCGATGTAGAACATATGCTACAGCCATACCACAGCATTGTAACGTTGTTAGAATATGCATCATGCATGTCATTCGCCATTCCATTTGTAGTCCCAGAATGAAACAGGCATAGAAGTACCGAGTAGCGAAACGGTAAAATGTAATTAGCGCAGAAGCACATAATCTCTTAAGCGAACGCTAAGTAAGCACACTAGCTTAACAAGCTAATGATCAAAGTAATATGTTCAAAGACATAAATATCAAAGAGCCTCATTCAGTGTCCTGTTCTTAATAGGTCCCCTTAGTCCAATCACTAAATAGCCCTATGTAGTTTCTTACTCCTAATAATCCTTCTGTCGGCAGTGTAGGTATTTGTTCAGCACAGCCGGATCCTTCGGCTACCGACCTGACCCACGCCATGGGGTGGGCGTGTGCTCAGCCCCGCCAACGTAACAAGCTTTATTAAGTTCTCCAAACACACGGCGTGGACTTAGCCAAGGTTAGCGTCTTTATGTCAAAAGGAATATGCACCATTAATTCTGTTGAATTAATGGTGGAAACCATGAAAGGAAACGACCAATATGTAACCGGACCTCGTTTGAAGCACTCGTGCTTTCTGAGGTAACGACTTTCCTTCCATGGCCGACTTTGTTCCGTCAACACTAACAGTATTCCAGAGTTACGCGCGGGCAGAGTCAATACAAGAGCGATGTCGTGCCGATGTGTGTGTTTGCGCAATGCATCGATAACTAACACGAAACAAACTCAACACGGACAACTGCAATAGAGCTTATTGAGTTCGGTTCAATTCTGGGCCGAATGACCTCGCCGTTATTCGGCGATATGTTCGGTGAGCGATAAATTATCGCTGGGAACGACTCTTCGTCAAACAGCAGCTATTCTTTGGTGCAATGGTAAACATTGTAACGGTGCCCGGTCATGATCGTACGAACCGTGATAATGAATGACAGCGAACGTCGCCGTCAAAAGCGGGGTACCTCGGGCTCGAAAGCACGTCGCTAGCATTGCTCGCGCGAAGACCGTACGAAGCGGAGTCTGCGGAAGAGGGATATATGGCCAGAGGACCGGACTAGAAATACCACTTTTACAGGTCGTGGAATTTCTTACTACGATTTTTAATTAGCATCAAGGATTCTCAATCGAAATTTGCTGCAAAGAATCGGAGGAAGCAGATGCAAAGGTGAGCCGAAGGGAAACAGTACGCCCGCTCCAACCCGTGCCAGCTTTAGCACGGGATCCTGTCTGGTTTCGCTGACTGCCGGTGATCTCTCCGCCTCCGACCCCCTCCGTGCCCAGATGTGGTGCCACACTGGAGTACTGCGGCTGGTGCTGTTCGCCTGCTCGCTGATCACCCTGGCTGGGCTGCACGTGGACGGACGCCACTCGCCGCCGCTGTGGCGCGCGCTCCGTATCTGGCCCCTGCTGCTGACCATCGTCACCACGGCCGGGAACACAGCCAGCCTGCTGACGGCCCCCTCTGCTGGTGACCTGCTGTACGGAGCCGTCTACGGCCTGGCCGCCTACCACGCGCTGTTGCTGCTGCTGCTGCTGCTGCTGCTGCGCGGCCGGCACCGGCTGCACGCGCTGCTGCGGCGCGCCGCCGCCATGGAGGCCGCCACGGCGCTGTGCGGCCGGCCGGGCGACTTTGCGCGGCTCCATTGGAGTGCGGCGGCCATCGCCGTGCTGGCGGTGGCCACCATCTGCGTGTGGTCGGCCAGCCTCTTCAGCGGCGCCCTGCCGTGGCAGCATCCCAACTACTTGTTCCCCATGTGGGTGCCGGCCGCGCTGCAGACGCCCGACTGGTTCACGGTCATCATCGCCCTCCAGGTGCCGGCTGCCGCGGCCTGCTTCGCCTACCAGTCCGTGTTTGACGTGGTGCTGATCGGCCTCCTCGACTCGGTAGCGCTATATTTGGAGCGGTTGGATCGGTACACGCGACGGTACATCACCGGAGACGATGCAGTTGCCGGAGACGGCGCGTCGCCCGCGTCAGAGCACAAGGTGCGTCCTGCAGGCGACTCTACCGAACTGGGGCTCGGCAAAAAACTGCCGGTGCCGACTCTGAACCAGGGCGCATTTTATATATCTGACAATGCTGTCTCGCCGAAAGGGTCCGCTGACTTCGTCGCCAGTCTGGTCATAAAACCGAGTCAGACCGGCACACCGAACGGCCTCTGGCTGTACAGCGCCGAACTCCGTCCCTCCCCTAAGGTCGAGCGCGACTCAGCCGATCCGATCGAGCTGCGTGACCCCGCCGGGGACCTGGAGGCCGGCCTGGAGCGTCTGTCTGAGGCGTACCGCGCCGTGTACGACCTGGCCTCTGACGCCGCCGAGTTCTGCTCCGTGCCGACACTCTCGCTCCACGCCAGCGTGACTGCCGTGCTTCTGATCGGAATGTACGTCGCCATCAACCTCTTTATCGTCGGCGAGCAAGGTACGTTCGTCCGCGTCAGTCTGGTCATCTTTCTGATGTTGAACACGCTGCGCGTTGCGTTCGTCTCGGGCGCTGGCAGCCGGCTGCTGTCCTGCGGGGAGCGGCTCAACACTACTCTAGTTGGAGGTCGGTGGCCGCGCCGCCTCTCGCCCGGGGTGAGACATGCCCTGCAGATGCTGGTGGAGCAGACGCGCCGGCCGCCCAACTTCCACGGAGGAGGCCTCTTCACCGTCCGCAAGGAGACCATGCTGTCGATGATGAGCTTCGTGCTCTCGTACTTTGTGATCCTGGTACAGATGATAAGTACTTACGTATAATTTAGATAAATGGGTAGAGACGCAGGCGTGGGTATTCCGGTGCCAGCCATTAGAAAATGGTTTCTTGTGTATTTGTTACACATGTTTCGCACTTTTCATCTAGCACATCTACTTATACCACGGATAACTGACCTGACCAGACCTGACCAGCTAATAGGAGGAATATCTTGTGAATAAATGAAAAACGCTTCAAGTACCGACAAATTGGATGCAGCGCATGTTTACGCCCCACTTTCTGACAGCCAGCTGTATTTGTAACAAATATGATTTGTAACAATTGTATTCAAATATAAATATCGCAAAGGTATCGACTTCCGGTCACTAATGTCGCAGATCTGAAACGCACTTTTAATGAATTATATCACCTTTTCCCGAAAGATTACATTCGATTCCTTGAAACGATCTTCCAATTGCTGTAGTTGGAAAAACATTTACTTTATCGAAGTGATGTCACTTCAGTAGCCTGGTTAGTGGTTACCTGACCCTAGTTAATCTAGATCTGAAGTTTTTAAATGCAAGAACCGTTTTTGAAACCCGCGAAAAAATTGACATCGGGCACTACGCTAAAGACGATAACAATTAAGTGGTATCAATTTAGAATTCGGGACGTCTACCCAAGACATAATTTAAGCCAGGCCGATTGGCCACTGTGGAAAATAATATTTCCTGTGGATGCCAGCCAAAAACTGAAAACGGTGCGCTCCCGACCAGCCCACCAGAATATGAGCCCACATTGACGCTCACGTGCTGTACCCTGGTATGCCCAATGTCCATCTACAGAGATTTACTACACTCACTAGTTGGGTTTTATGGATCAACCGATACAATGTCATGTTGTGTGCCTATTTATTTTCATATTGCATTCATTGATGAAGATGGGGACAATATGCGGTGACAGTAACCATGATCGGATGATGGGGGCGGTTCACTCAGCTGCCTCCAGGTCCAGTCGTTTCCGGGTGAGGTCGGCCACCTCCGCCATCACCTCGGGCTTCAGAAGGTCACGGGCCTGCAACAGACGCGCCGCACAGACCTCAGGCCGGGACAAAGCGTCACACACACACACAGGGCAGGAGACACAGTACACACACAGGTCAGCTGCCTCCGCCATCACCTCTGGCTTCAGTAGGTCACGGGCCTGCAACAGACGCGCCGCACACGGGTCAGTTGGGGAGGGTGGCAGCGGATACCGACGCCTCAGCTTAGGGCAGGAGTACTGCGATCACCTCAGGTTTCATTAAGTCACGGGAGTACGTCACACGCGCCGATTACACACCTCAGGGCGTGGTGGGAGCCGGCCCGCGGCAGGCAAGAACAGGGGCGCGCACAGTCGTAAGCCCGTAAAATGCGACGTTGAAATACGCTGCGTGCAGCCAGAAGTATCATTTTAATCGGTACCTAGCCGTTCAGGAACTATATCAAACATGTTCAGATCGAAAAGATATGGTGTCCCAATGCCGACATCTTCGAGCCGTGCTTTTTATATTATACAATATACATACATGTAATATACGGGGCATTCCAGGACGATTCAACAGGTGCATAACACCCGACCCCCTCAGATTTGCTTCTAAATTGCTGTACAGGGTTATTCTGTGCCCAGAAGCCGAATCTGAAATTTTCAGACCCGTAGAAGCAACGGTTTTTGAGTTATAGCATTGGGAAATTTTGGAAAGTTAAAAAACATCATTGTATTTTAGTAGCTATATCTCTTCGAAAACTTTTATTAAACTATAAAAATTATACATATTTGAACTCGCCACATCACAAGCTATCTGATGGTATGCAAAATTGTTCAAAATTTTGAATTTTTAATTTTCCGAAAATTGTTCAAAAATTTATTTCAAATTTTTCAAAGTGTGGCCAGTTAAATAAAATTTATTTTTTTAGCTTTTATTAATGCTTAGGGTATTGGGAAACTATATTGTGAAAATTGGAGATAGGTATTTTTTATAAATATTTTATTTTATTTTTTTACTTTCTGCATGTTAAAATACCATTTTTCTTTGATATGGTGCCGACGGTGCTATCTCGGGAACGGATGATCGTAGCGCGCCGGACGAGGCGGCAATGGAAAGATCTCAACGAGATGGATCTAGACATTGTCCGAATGTTGTTCTTAAAGGTCACGGGTCAGGTCAAGGTCAGGTCAAAGACCAAAATTCCAGGTTCTCATTCCCCGGCTGCTCCTGAGGCACTTTCATAATGATAAAGCGATGTGAAAATCGCACAGCATGCGTCCAACATATTTATAAAGGCGGTGAATCAGTAAATATGCAATCACAAGGTGAGGTCAAGGTCAAAATCAGGTCACGAAAGGTCATGATGAATAAACAGGGATTAGGGACATGCGACACATGTTTTATGGGTTATTTTCCGATTCCAAGTCAATGGTGATGGGCATTTGACCATTCGGGACCAAATCAGGTCAGATTAGGCCAATGCCAAGGTCAATGTGTAAAGTTGTTGTTTCTATGTCGATGATATATGGCTATACTAGAGTAATGAGTGAAATGAAATGAATAATTTTTACATTTGTCTCCGTTTCCAAATTTCCATTTGGCCCATCCCGAAACCTATCGCTATATCATCTGCGCCTGTGACAGACCAGTCACTGCGAGCTCGGCTCGCTCGAATGAGCCTTGGCGCGGTGACAGACGACGCGCCGGTCCATGCGGTCAAAACAGCACAATAAAATCATCGGGTGCCATAAACGCATAGGGTGACGTTGGTCGCTGGTCACAGCTGCGCGGGCCAGTTGCGGGATGGGGACTCCAGTCTTCCGAAAGTCACCGCATGCGACAGTGCGTGTGAACCGTTCGTGCTTGGAAATGTCACCACGTGCAGCAAGAAATTACTGCCAGGATCCGTTTGATTGTCATCATCCGAATCCAGTGCTGAAAGGAGTTCAGAGAGTATCCGCAAGACTAGTGAGTGAAGTGAATGACGACAGGGTAGGAACTGGTGCATTTTTATGCGTTTCCTGCCGGAAACGACTGCTTAAAGATCCAAAATGTCTACCGCCAAGAGAACGGTCATCGCCGATCCCTTCGAGCAGCCAGCAAAGGTCACCAAGCCTTCCAAGCGACAATGATCCTGCCACTCAAAGGAGCTCATCAGTCGAAAGTGAAGTCGCGAGGCAAGAAACGAGCGAAGTCCTTCACCTTCTCGGAGAGACGCCACTTCGACCTAGTAAGAAAAATTGTCCATAGTCCATACTGTTTTCGTTATTAAGAGTCTGGGATGTTTGATGACATTATGTTGATGCCGTACCTCATTTAATTCCACCCAGCAGAGATATTAAATAATTAGTACCTCCAATCAATTAATACAATGTTATGTTGCAACCGGTGAAATGTTCTTGTGAATATTATCACAAATATGTCAGATGTGACGTTTTATGTGTTAAGATAATCAGATGATTGAAATGTTTGAGTTTTTAAGTGACAAATTCGAGACTACAGTGAACTTTGTATTCGTGTCGAGGGTCGAAGTCGAAAAAGCTGCAGAACACCTCAAGGAGCGTTTCAGCAAAGCGGTGGCAGTGAAAGGCACGTAGAGTCTGCACTGCTTTATTCCGGTCAACCACGAGACACTGCGAGTCTCAAAGTTGTCAGGGGGACCAGGCCGGCTGGTGAAAGTGCAACGCAGTAGGGCACCGAAAAGACGAAAGTGAGCCCGCGTAGACTTGCTAGCACCCCTGCCGTGTGTCTGTATGGTGGCTGTCTGTGCACTGTATTGTTGGTGATATGTGTGCCCAATACATTTCAACGAGCTGGTCACCAAAATGTGTGTTGTATTTCCTTCGTTGAACAAGGGATTGGTTGACCTGACCGTGACCTGACCTGAACTGACCTGATTTTGTCCTGAATCGTCAAATGCCCATCACCATTGATTTTGAATTGGAAAATAACCCATGAAACATGTGTCGCATGCACACAATCCCTTTTTATTCATCATGACCTTTCGTGACCTGACCTTGACCTGACCCGTGACCTTTAAGAACAACATTCGGACAATTTCTAGATCCATCTTGTTGAGATCTTTCCATTGCCGCCTCGTCCGGCGCGCTACGATCATCCGTTCCCGAGATAGCACCGTCGGCACCATATCAAAGCAAAATGGTATATTTACATGGAGAAAGTAAAAAAATAAAATAAAATATTTATAAAAAATACCTATCTCCAATTTTCACAATATAGTTTCCCAATACCCTAAGCATTACTAAAAGCTAAAAAAATAAATTTTATTTAACTGGCCACACTTTGAAAAATTTGAAAGAAATTTTTGAACAATTTTTTGAAAATTCAAAATTCAAAATTTTGAAAAAGTTTGCATACCATCTGAAAGCTTGTGATGTGGCGAGTTCAAATATGTATAATTTTTATAATTAAAAAAAGTTTTCGATTAGATATAGCTACTAAAATACAATGATGTTTTTTAACTTTCCAAAATTTCCCAAAGTTATAACTCAAAAACCGTTGCTCCTACAGGTCTAAAAATCTCAGATTCGGCTTCTGGGCACAGAATAACCCTATACAGCAATTTTAAAGAAAATCTGAGGGGGTCGGGTGTTAATTTGCACCCATGAGCTGTTGAATCGTCCTGGAATGCCCCATACGCTACATGTAATATACCGGTGAAATAATAACGTCACCAAAACATAGTCCCAGAACGGTCAATATTTTATCAAGTGACCTCACCCGGTAACCTGACCCGGGCTCCTGCGAGACAGGTACCGCACCTACCTGGAACTTGGAGGAGGCTTCGAAGGCGTACAGTATGGACGTGTCGTAGAGCATCATCCAGGAGCCGGCCAGTGCCAGGATGCAGTTCCGCAGCCGTGAGATCACCTCTCGCTCCGGCAGGGGCACACGCTGTAGGGGGGACGCCGCGGTCAGGCAGACAGCAGCGGATCGGCACGAGTCGCGGCGGACTTAGCATCCTCTTCCTTCTCGACGGCATGGGAAATATAAAAAAAGGAAAACGTCGCTGATATTTCGCTTGACAGATACTAGTTACTAGAAATAAACATTTTATAATAAAAACCATTTTAGAGCTACTCAAGACAACTGACGTGATTTTGCCATTATTCATCGGAAGAAAAGTTACAAAGTAAACTTGCGCAGTATTATCTATCCACCAAAAACGAGGAAGTGGGCAGGAAGGGAGGGGAGTTGCAACGCTACATTACTATCCTCGGTCACATCTTAGCAAGCAGCCAGCTTGAAAACTCATCATATGTTTGCTTGAGATATATCGGGACTCGTCCTCGACCAACAGCGCCAATGCGGCGACATCCCACACCACAGCGCCCCGCACGGCGACATCCTGCATCACAGCGGTCCGCGCGGCGTAGTGCAACCCACCTCCAAGTTCTGGACATAGCCGCCGGTACCGGCTCCGCCGTCCTCTCCAACGACCGTGGCGCAGATCCAGATGTAGCCGTTGTTGCCCAGGATCACCGTAGCGCCGCACGGCAGGTCGTGGAAGTGGTTCTTCCGCCGCAGCACCAGGTTCGACGGCACGGCCACCACCACACCCTGCGAGAGCTGAACGCGGCGACAGAGACCGACGTCAGACACAACTATTATCGGCAACTGACACAGTCACACGACTCTAGGGGTAATGACGTCAGACACAGCTGCCGACGGCGACTGACGTCAGACGCAACTATCAGCGGTGACTGACGTCACACAACTGGTATGGGCAATATAACTGATAGATATAACTGGTATAGCTCAGGTATGATAGGCGTTAGATACAACTGACCTCAGACAACTAACAGCGGCGACGAACGTCACACAACTGACGTCAGACACAGCACAACTGATGTTAGGCCAGTTGCCACTGATGGCACACACAACACACATACACAACAGCTAGTGGCAAGACTGGTGGTGCCTCACAGTGGTGGTGATCTTAAACTAGAGATTGGATTTACTGAGCTCATCTGTCTCAGGGTGCAGCACGTTGACACAGCTCACACTCACGTTGCAGCCATTCTTACCTTTCCATATTTGAGACTGCGAGTGTGCAGCGACAGTGATCCGTCGGAGAAGATGTTCTGCACCTCTGCCGAGATGAGATCACCCTCCTCCAGGTAAGAGCGCATGGCCAGCTCATCCTCCTGTGTCTTACGGCGCTGTTCGCCGCCGGGCAGGTTCACAGAGGAAAGCATGAGTAGTGAGTGGAGTCGACTGCACGTGTCCACCTTCCAGCGTTTCTGCTGCACCTCGATCACCCGGCCAATCACCACGTCACCAATCTCCCCTGGAAAACAACACAGCCGCTCACTCGTCACCAATCCCTCCTGTACGGCAGGACACGCGGTCAGTCGACACCTATCTCCCCCTGGACAGGAGGACACACGGTCACCACGTCACCAATCTCCCCTGGACGGAAAATACACAGTTAGGCGTCACCTATCTCCCCTGGACGGAGAACACACGGTCAACCGTCAGCAATTTGTCAGCAATATGCCCTGGACGATGGCATACTCGGTCACTCATCGGGAAGTAAATAAATTGTAAAAATGTACTTTTTTAAATAATTAAATCACATTTCACTAAGGATAGACCAGCTCAGGAGGAGTTCTTACCCCTTGACTATGTCCCTGATTTGTTAAGTATACATACATACCATTGTATCGGGCTTTCAGGGGCTGAACAGAAATAAGTCGATTTATTCTTCTCACAAATCCTGCAACAGAGGCCACTAAATTCTCTCCATCTTTGTAGGTACCGTGACCCCTGAAAATACATATGCAATGTAAAAGCACATCAATGGGCAGCTTATGGCAAACAAAGAGGACAGAGCCATAGAGCCGGCATCACGTAGTGAGTCAGCAGGCCATTCATTACTCGCACTAGTTAATCCACTATCGTCACTCTCGTGTGGGTCGTGCCTAATTGACTGATAATCGCTGCACCATTTACTTTATGGACCCTTTTACAAACATTAGGAGGGTGAGGAATCGCCAATCACAGACAGTTTTACTTAGCAACATGCTGCGTCATTTGCGCAGGACTGATTTTGTTTTTGTTCCGCTCCCTTTCTACTCTTCATCTATACTCCGTTACACGAGCTCGTTCTCAAGGAAACGGCGGGGCCGATGTTCGGACAGCCATTAGCCGTCATTGTGTGAACATCGCATATGATCAACATACATATGTACCGTGGATAATAAACATCCAACGTTGAGAATTATACTATTTTTGATATCCTCACGATCCAGATGGCGTTTATTGCAAAACTATCTCCAGGAGTTAAACAGAACAAAGGCAGCACCTTGCAACCCATTTGTGCTTCTAGAGTGACAAAGTTCTGCATGTGTGGGCGAGAACTGACGTTTCCATCAGCTCTCTCCGACTCCATTTCACCTAGTGACAAACGCATCGGAATTGCATGCACCTGACTTACCTCATAAATCCGCCATCTCCTGTGACGGTGTCTCCTGGTGTGACCAGTTGGGCGGCACCACGCGTGGCTTCCTCCTGACGCAGCCTCTCTGCGGCCAACCGTATGTCTACCTCCATCTTGCTTTACAGTGATCTGCTGTAAAGGAAAAAGACAGGAATGACTTAATACACATAATCTTTATCATTTTTATCAATATGTTTGAGTGCTCGTTATGTAATTTCTATAAAATATCTTAGTATACTTCTCGGATTGTTTCTTTTTGGAATGAATTAACAGAACTGATTAAACGAAAAGATTATCTTAACCCTCGCCGGACCTATTGGTTTTTTACATACGCGCCGGCCGAGGGAGGGGGGGGGGGGGGTACGACCCCCCTCGTCGTTTCGCCCCTGGTGGAGCTAGCGCATCGCGGAAGAAAACGATCGTGTGCGCCGTTACGAGACGCAGATATTGATACCCGATTTTTAGGTCCTAGGTCAACCGGTGACCTCTAAGGTCAGGTCAAGTGCCCCAAGGTACGGTTCCGTTTTTGGTGAGTAGCTTCGCAGAAAAAAACGGCCGCAGAGCCGCGGGCCCGCGATTTTGGCAGCATCGTGTTCGCCTCGCTCAGGCGCGTCGAATGGTATACTTCTTGTTTGGATGAGGTGAGGCCAACTTAGGGTGTTGACCTCAGGTCACGGTCAGGTCAGCGCCCCCAGGTGACGAAATTGGTCGGAGGTCATGTCGCATATCATTCGATTCGGCAGGGCTTCCTGAGTCCATTGGTGGCTTTCCCGACTCCCTAGCTCAATTTGATCGGGAGTTATTGACGAAAAACTAATATGACCCTCATGAAGTCATAAATGACGACACGCAAGGTCAACATTGCAAAAGTGACGCATCGAACCTTGCAAAGAGTGCATGAAATAACGATTCTGTGTGCTTGAAATAACTAGTTGGGGATCGTTCCCGGCGCCAGAATAGCAGTTTTCATTTTTCCCAATGAGTTATAATGGTGAGGTCACCAAAATGACCTGAACTCATATAACCTTTAGGAAAAATCCGAGATATACAAGTTGTGAGACTTATAATGGATACTAGATCCTACAAGTTTCAATTCCTTGTGAAAGCTCCTCTGGCAGTGAGGGCGTTGCGAAGTTGCGACATCTGAAGACCGAACAGAGGTTCACTTATGACGCCATAGGTCAGTGACCTGACCTGACCCAAAAATGCAGTTGGTGTAAAAAAAACGGCTGGAATCAAAGGTCAGTATGCCAAGTTTCAGCCCTCTATCGTCGGCATGTTCGGAGCTATCGCGAAAAAATATATGGGGGGGGGGGCAGGGTTAAAGTATTCAATAATCATGGGTTGGCACGCGATGCTTCTCCTTTCCCTCATCATAATGCCGTGACAATTTTCTACAGAGGAACTAGGAGGAACTTATCTAACCAGCAAAACGCCTTTTGGAGCGACCAGGGAGCGAGCGAGAGAGTGGGCCTTGCACGTACGAAATTGCGAGGGGGTAGGTCAATCCACAGCAGAAGTAATGTGGGGTTTCAGTCATGGGTATGTTCTGCTTCTGAAGCTTAGGAACGATTAGCCAGACTACAATGAAACTTTGAATGTAGCTTATATGTATCGTCACCCTTGCAGCTGCAACTTTAGCTATTGACATCTTCTTTTCGATCACTCCGCATTAAACAATCGCCAGTCAAAGCCAACCGTTGAGATTGGTAAAACCCTACATTACTTTAGCGGTGGGCTGTAACTCCGACTAACTTGTGCACTGCACCCTATTAACCGGTCCCTATCGATGTACCAAATTCAAGCGCAATCGGCCTAGCCGTGCTCGAGATCTGGAAGCGGATAGAGATAGATAGAGCGTTCCGGGGCCTCGGACGCTCTTTCATGTTTCAGTATCCGAAAAGTTCTTTATTTCCACGGAAACCCAATGCTTCAATGCGGCATGCGCTTAGCGCACTGTAGCGTCGTGCCGTGAAACAAGGCCGGAGCCGGAAGTTCTGGGGCCGCAAAAATCGGCGGAGCGGTGTGTTCGAGGCTGGCGGGAGCCGGCAAGGCCCGGGGCAGCGGAGCAGCACGTGCTCAGGCACATCAGCCTCTTCTCGGCACACGGTGCAGAGCGCCGCGGGGCACCGCTTGTCTGGGCACTGCTGGTGCTGGCACGCAGCGGAGTGGAGACAGCCGATGCGGTGCACGCACAGCCCTCTGCAAACTGCGTGGTAGATATTCTTTCTTCGACAAAACCGAGAATAACGCGGATACTATGCTATCGGTCAACCGGAAGTCATAACAGCAAGACGCGCGAGACTCCGCACCTTAGATTGGCTTTATCATCGCATTTATTTTTCATCCAGTTTGGCAACAAAATTCAAAAGTTTATATTTGCCCCCAAAACAAACTTTTGCATTTTGTTGCCACACAAGGCATAAACTTTGTTTAGTGATAGACCCAATCGAAGAAGTAGAGCATGGCGCCTCTATTTGCAGTGAGTTCCGACCGACTGAAAACATAGTCTTTGAGTTATTACTGGTTTTGTCGAAAAAAGAATACCTACCACGCAGTCTGCTGAGGGCTGTACATACTGGAGCGAGTGGCCCCGCTGGCCCGCCCTCATCGGGTGCACCGAAACGACGTCCTCTCGGTCCTCTCCGGGGATAGGGAGCGGCGGCGTGCTCCCGAGGAGTGGCTTGAATAGTGACTCGGACCAGTGTAGCGCCATTGATGCTAGGCCGCACAATGAACCGCCCTGGTCAGCGAGCGGGCGTTTGAGGGCAGGGCGGCCGCTTATTTCGCCAGGTCGTACGCGCTCTCATTCCCCTTGATACCGGAGTGGGCAAGAACCCACCGCAGTATTATTTGACAACGCTCGGGTCGGCGATGTTCAACAAGGTCTTCCGTGCCTATCTCCACGCCGAACGTTGAGGCCTCACCTGGGCGGCCGCTCCTCAGCTGAATAGACTCAGGGCGGCTCGCCAGTTCGAGCACGCGATGACCGGAGCGGAGCGGGGACGTCTCGTCCCGAAACCTCTCCAGAGCTGCCCGCAGGGCAAATCTGCTGCTAGATTGACCAGCGTGCCAACTAAATTCGGTGACCGTCTTTTGCCTAAAATTATGCGGCCACCCTGCGCCGAAAAATTCAGCCGCCGCCATCAGCCATGCACTGAATTCGGCGCATGCAAAGTTACACAAGACGTGCGCTGAAATTTTTTGCGCAATCCCGCCACCACCCCGGACATATTCGGCATAACATGTATTTTTCCCGTCTGGCGTTAAGAAGGGTTAGGTCAGGTTCGATTAGGTTTTGTTATTTTTGCTTGTAATGTACCTGCTTTTCTTAGGAGTAAGAGTAAAGGATTGTTTGAACAATTTTCTATGCTAAGGTGTCCATCCCACCTTAACATTAGTTTTGAGTTGAGATAGCCAAAATGGGGTCCCTGGCTTGCACTTACTGGTTTGAGCACTCACAAGATCAAAAAATGCCCCAAATCGAAAATATATAGGTAATTTCAAAGTTGCAGCACTTGGATTCAGAGCAGCGGCGGAATACCTTCAATGAAGGGGGGGGGGGGGCACTGCCAACTTTTGGTCCCATTCTTTCCATACAACGCCCATAGGATAGGGCTAATTTTAAAATGCCCAAATCAAAGGGGGCATGGTGCCCCGGTGCCCTCCCCGTTCTGCCCACTATGATTCAGAGGTGCTCATGTATTAGAATGCCCCCTCTGAATGGACGACTGACATCAGCTCAGATCTAACGATTTTAAATCTTTTACTAAAACATTTGGTAGCACGCTGTGGTATATGCTGCTTTGAGCGCAACAAGTGCCGCACTTTCAAATAAAGTCACTAGGAACAGCAGAGATCCCTAAAAGTAAACAAAAGTAAAAGTTTAGAAACAGGTGAATATTTTTCAATGAAATTTGGTAGATATTCATTTTCGCTCTTTCTGAACCGAGCGACATCACTTTCATGCCAATTCATTAACTTTTTTGAGGGTGGGACTTGGGAGAGTCCCTTTAATACCTTTTTACAATATGGTGTGGTTGCTTGTGATTTTAGAGCCTAGGGTAGAAAAGGAGGATTTCACCTCCTTTATGTAGCATAAACACACAGTCGAATTGAGCCTATCCTATTGTTGGTCATAAATTGAAATAATCCTGAAATGCATTAGCTATACAATTCTTCAACCACCTATGAAATACTCACTCCCCGCCCTCGTGTTCCTAACACAGCCTCGTCGGGCGCTCAGGCAACAAATCATGCAAGGCCCTATATACCTGATGTACAGTCTGTCTTAAAAGTACCGCGCAAAGTGACGGTGGATCCATCAAGCCTGACTGAGGTAGGGCCTGCTATAATTTGAAAGTCACCGAACCAATTGACCTAGAGAATGGACGAGGATGTGAATTGCTTCGGTGACTCAAATGCAGTAGGCCCTTCCTCGGTCAGGCATGATGGATCCAACGTCACTTTGCGCGGTACTTTTAAGACAGACTGTACCTGATATATAGGGCCTTGCGGAAGGGACCGTGTATATCACACCACGGTGAGATTTACACAATACCGGCCATTTGTGTAAATCACACCCACCCCGGTGTGATATACACAAAATCTACTACGTAGTGTAAATCACACCCGGGTGAGGAATACACAGAGAGGGCAGCTGTGTGTATATCTCACCACGATGTGACGTCATAGCAACGCTGAACGTCCATTGGTCAGAGCAGTGACTCTGCTCGCCCATTGGTCAGATCAGACTAAGCACTACGAATATTCCGGCGGCATTCCGGGCGTCCTCTCTCTCGAAATCAGCTGACCGCCTGGCCTAGTGGTGAAGGTGCTTGCACCATCATACGAATGTTGCGGGTTCGAGTCCCGTCGGTGCGGGCGCTTTTTCCCGCATTTTCGCTTTTCCTTGGTAGCGGTGGGTTCGCTGCCGACCGACAAGTTTAAAAGCACCAATACAATATGGAAAGCGACGTCTGAATGCTCGTGGCGAAGCGGTGCAGTGCCGAAGGCAATGCCTTAGGAGAGATTACAGGCAATGGTAAGTCAAATATTTTTAGGTTAAGTGGTTGTGTATCTGGCTTCAGGCCGAAGGCCTGAAGCCTGATGCACAACCACTTAACCTAAAAATATTTGACTTACCATTGCTTGCAATCTCTTCATGCGAGTACCTTCTTCCTCATCCACGGGTAGGCAAAAATCAGTAGGTCAGGTTAGGTTAGGTTAGGTTAGGTTAGGTTAGGTTAGGTTAGGTTAGGTTAGGTTAGGTTAGGTTAGGTTAGGTTAGGTCAGGTCAGGTCAGGTCTAAGGTTTGGTTAAGTGTCTTGTTACCGTGCCTACTGTGTAAATCTCACCCAGGTGCTGCGTGGTTTGACACCCAGGTGTGATTTACCCACTACCGAGCACACAGTGTATATCACACCCTGGTGAGATTTACACATTGGCTAGGCCTACTGTGTAAATCACACCCAGGTGCTGCGTGGTTTGACACCCAGGTGTGATTTACACACTAGGAACACATTGTGTATATCACACCACGGTGTGATTTACGCATTTGCCGGGCCTACTGTGTAAATCACACCCAGGTGCTGCGTGGTCTGACACCCGGGTGTGATTTACACACTAGGAGCACATTGTGTATATCACACCCCGGTGTGATTTACGCATTGCCGGCCCACTGTGTAAATCACACTCCGCGTGGTGTGATATACACAGGAGTAGTGTATTGTGTAAATCACACCCGGGTGAGGTTTACACTACAGTGCGATGCATTATGTAAATCTCACCGTGGTGTGATATACACGCGTCCCTTGCGGAAAACATGATGGAATTGTTTCGTCGCAAGCGCGTCACTTTGACGATATGCAATCGTCTAAAATACTGCAAAAATATTATTTCGATATAATTTACTGCAAAAGCCTTTAAAGAAATCTAACAAGCCCTGAAACTAAAAGAGTTTCAGTTCCCCACATCGTTACAAGAACAAAAATGTTAAAATACAGTGTAATATAACTACCTGTTTTAGATATCTACGAAATATTGTGGCCAGACCGCACCTCGTGGCTCGTGCCGTGTAAGGTCATGTAAGGTCTTCGTCGACTAAATTTGCGGCATTGTTTTGCGCCCGTAGTTTAAAAACCGTCAGCTCACCGAAATGTAGACGGTCAGAATAGACTGGCCGTTCATGCCTGTGTCGGGGGACGGTGACTGGCGGTGCGCTAGTGCCTGGGTGCCAGGTACAGTAGGCAACAAATTACAAAATAAGTCCTCTCCGTATGCGAGCAGGTGGCGCCCGAGCTAGCGCTCAGGCGCTAACTGTCCACTGGTGACCCGCATACGGCGGGGACTTATTTTGTAGACCTACTGTACGTTCGAAGGACATGGCCTTTGCCTCATGCGGCATGCCTGTTTTTAGAATGCACTACCGCCTCGGGCCTCGAGTAGGTACAAAATTGGTGAATGAGAGTGAAGCGGGGTCTTCGATGCCAGTTCGCTGCTGAGTGCGCTGCTCCGAGGCCCGCCCATCCGACGAATCACCGCTGCTGGCTTGGTCTCAAGGTACGGTCCCTGGGCACTGGGAAGATACGGGCCCAAAGGTCTTCCTATAGATAGGTTTGGAGCTGGGTAGGCGGATAACTTTATATTGCGAATTGCGTTAGGTTATGATAGGTTAGTTTGCGCACAGGGGTGGAAAATTGTCATAATCTCAGGGGGTGCTTTTCTAGCATCTGGCGAATGGAAGCTTCAAATTCTTGCGTAGAAAAGCATGTGTAGGTACGTTTTCCAAGCAGCATCACTCTCCTCGCGGCTTACGCAAAGCAGTTTGTGTCTCAGGCGTAAATTAAGCACCCCTGGAGCACTATTGCACGGTGACTTTTGAATTTCAGGGGGTGCTTGAGCACCCCCAAAACCCATAATTCTCCACCCCTGTTTGCGCATATTTTGGCGGCTTTATTGATGTGTATTTATTGATCGCAGTCCGATACTATTTTGGTGTTATTGCATAGGGGCAAAATCGATATCAACTTTTCATGGAGGTATACGAGACGAGAAGGAGGAATGAAAGAGCGGAAGCATTTTATGTCGGCCTACTTTAGTTTTGCCATGGTTAAAGGGACCCTCCCACCTTCAAAAAAGTTTATGAATTGGCATGAAAGTGATGTCACTCGGTTCAGAAAGAGCGAAAACGAATATCTACCAAATTTCATCGAACAATATTCACCGGTTTTCAAGATATTAGACTTTTTCTTTTGTTTAGGTACTTTTTAGGATCTCCGCTGTTCCTAGCGACTTTATTTAAAGGGACCCTCCCACCTTCAAAAAAGTTTATGAATTGGCATGAAAGTGATGTCGCTCGGTTCAGAAAGAGCGAAAACGAATATGTACCAAATTTCACCGAAAAATATTCACCAGTTTTCAAGATATTATACTTTTACTTTTGTTTACTTTTTTGGGATCTCCGCTGTTTCTAGCGACTTTATTTTAGAAGTGCGGCGTTTGCGGCAGATGTTGCGCGCAAATAGCATATACCACCGCGTGCTACAAAACGTTTTAGTCAAACATTTAAAAATCGTTAGATATCTGCGCTGACGTCACACATTCAGAGGGGTATTCCTAAGCATTAGCCCCTCTGAATCAAAATGCTGCAATTTTGAAATTCAATATTTCCGATTTAAGGCATTTCTCGATGTTGTGAGTGCCGAAACCGGTAATTGTGAGCCAGGGACCCCATTTTGGCTATCTCAACTCAAATCTAATGTTAAGGTGGGAGGGTCCCTTTAAAAGTGCGGCATTTGTTGCGCGCAACGCAGCATATACCACCGCGTGCTACAAAACGTTTTAGTCAAATATTTAAAAATCGTTAGATATCTGCGCTGACGTCACACATTCAGAGGGGTATTCCTATGCATTAGCGCCATTAGCCCCTCTGAATCAAAATGCTGCAATTTTGAAATTCAATATTTCCGATTTAAGGCATTTCTCGATGTTGTGAGTGCCGAAACCGGTACCTAATTGTGAGCCAGGGACCCCATTTTGGCTATCTCAACTCAAATCTTATGTTAAGGTGGGAGGGTCCCTTTAGCTTTATTTGGCTTAGGAGTGTTTTGTGCTCATTAGATTAGTACCTATACTCATCGGCACGCTACCCAACGCGCGGCTACCAAATGGCGAGCATTCATCACTGAACCACTCGAGTGTACGGCCCCACCGTAGATGCACATGTAGAATGACAGTGGCCCGGGCAAGGGCCCGGGTGGCAGACGGGTTAACGGCAAGCAAGGGAGACATCCCAGCCAACCACTTGTCATATGTAGAGTAAAGTAGCTGATAAGGGGGGGGGGGGAGATAGCGACAGACCCACAGGACCGGGCTCGAGTCTCCACCCCTACAGCCGCCACACGGACACGAGAGTCGGAGACGTAGGTCCGGACTCCGGAGAAATCTCTCGCTTATGCCTGGACTGAACTAGAGGCTAGAGCAACGCTGGTGACCAGCCGTGAAGAATGACACCTGAACACGACTTTAACCCGGCAGGCGGTGGGCCTCCCGGCCACCTTCCGCGCGGTGGGGGGGGGGGGAATTTTTTGCCCCCCCCCGTATCTCAAAAACTACTGGACGGATCCGGAAAATTCAAACGGTGTTCGATAGTCCTGTCAAATTTGTCGAAATCAACCAAATTTCATTGACCTCGGGTTCACCGATGACGTCACAGGTCGTCAGGTCAAAGATAGAATGTTTCACCGTTCACGGGGCTTCTAGGGAAAGCGCTATAGGTATAACACCGAATAAAACGCATTTTGTCGGAAAGCAGCGATAGGGCGTCAGTTGTCTCGTACATATGTTGCTATTAGAGGTCACTGGTCATACCAGGTCAGGTCACAGGTCAGGTCACCAAAGGTCACCAAGGGTCACCACATGAACCCAACTTTACTAAGGTTGTGCGATGCATGTTTTATGGCCAGTTTTTCATTTCCAACTCAATGGTGTTGGTTATAAGACCATCATGTACGGTTTAGGTCACTTTCTGGTGGAGGTCAGGTCAAGGTCAGGTAAAAAAAGTAAAAATTTAAAGTTGATATTTTTGCATAAAATGATTGATTCGATGCAGCTCGTCACGGGGAGTCTAATGGTGTTCTTTGTTTTGCGCTACGAGGTCTAGAATTGCTAAAAATTGAGTTTGAAAATTTGACGTCATCAATCTTGAACAGTTTTTTCGCTATAACTTGGCCAAAAAAAGAGGTATCGATCTAAAATTTGGTATGTAGATAGAAGGTGGTAGTGACTATCACATATCTTCGGTTTTTCGAAATTCAAACAACTTTTTGGATTATTTGGCTATTATATTCAAAAAATCTATTTTTTTTAATTTTTGGGGTCAAATTCCTAAAATTTCTAAAAACCGAGGTAGCAGTTTCGTAGCCCTTTAAATTCTACATCTTTTATGTCGAAACATTTTTCTGTACCTATCTCTAAAGCTGTAGGCCTGACAGCTCTTCTCGCGAAACCTTTTTTTGGGGTCGAAAATGGCAGAAATGACGTCACTCTGACGTCATTAGCGTCCAACCTATCATAGCCTTTGGAAAAATTTTTGGTCACAATGTGCAATAGCTATTCACGGGAGGGTACTGAAAGTTTGGTAACGATCGGCGCAGCGGTTCTGGAGATATATCGAGAAAAAAAAACAAAGGGGGGCAAACAATGCCCCCCACCGCCTGGAAGGTTAATGACCTCTGGTGACCTGGCCTTACCTGACCAAAATATTACTGGAATATGTTTTCATTGTTTTGTTTTTAAGCTCTTTTGAATTCCGCTTACTGCGTGTTGCTACGTGGTCCAGTAGCCGAGTTAGATGGGGGGGGGGGGGGGCGTGAAAGTGACACGCCCCCCCGGACCCCCCCCCCCCCCCCTCCCCCATCATGACACGGAAAACGCAGACCACTGGCACGGCGCGGGATAAGATTATGAACTTTATACTGAGTACCTAATGTTCATATCGCATTGTCAAAGTACAGTGTCTTCTCGTCGTGTCTGATTCGGTATCTGCCACTGAGTAGTGAGTAGGTACCAGGTGCCCTCTCCGCCTCTGATCCGGTAAATGTAACCGATTGCCCTCCGTCTGCGATCCCGTGCATGGCATGTCGGTGGTGTCATCCGTCTAAGGGTTAGATAATGTGAGTGCCTGCCACTGAACGGTAGAACAGCGAGCTAAGTGGCCTCGTCTCGTCGCGGGGTCACAGGTGAAACCGGGAAACTGCCGGCTGTAGAGTAGAGCAGATGCAGGCCATGCTGCCTGTATCCGACATCGGGAGGTTTCGGAGCTGGCGCAGAAGGTCGTGAATCGGTACCGAACAATAATACATTCGTATTGGATGCACATTGCATGAGCTTGAAAATAAACGGGACGGGAGAGACAATTGCATTTCTCGTGTCTTTTTACAAAGCAATGAAATTCGTACCACCAAGAGAGTTTCGACTATCAACGATAGCTATGAAGGGACTGAAAAAAATGCACGGTTCTCACATTCATCACATATGTTCTCGCATTGAAAACAGTCACCTATATTTCAATCCACTTTATCACAAACACTGATCTCATTCGGTCCCCTCAAGTCAGGGTTAATCTCAGATGCACGCCAAATGTAAGGAATGCTAACAATATTTCGCCTCTTTCGGTTTGTCGGTTAACAAAACATGTGACATATAGCACACAATGTTCCTGGAATACGGGAATAAAACAATTCTTTAGAAATATGTAACATGAACAATGAGTGTATACGATCGTAGAGCGGTCCGATACAAGCGCAAGTAATTGCACGCCATAATTTCACATTGGTAGTTTTACCATTTCTGCGATTCTTCTACAACGTACGATGCCATACAAAGATATACCATGCCCACACGATTCCCCCAACCCCTAGGCTTCCTTCCAGCTTTCTAGCCCCTCTTCAACCTCTTATACAAGTCCGGGCATGAAGAAACGACGCGATTGGATATTTGGCTCGTTCCTTGTCGTTGTCGCAGAGTTAGGCACATCTACAATTCATTGGCGCACACTATTTCATAAATGTTGACTTTGCCGTCTTTCGCATATTGTTGCACTTGCTAGTTGCACTCCTGAGTTGCATGTGTACCGCGCAAGCAGCCGGTCGGCTCCGGCGCGGCTCGCCACAGAGCGAGGCTGCTGCCCTTCCACGGACTTGCGCCACTGATAACAGTGGCCTGCGCCACTGTCATTTCACATCGAGCGAGCAAGACCGCTGCTCTTTCCCTAGAGAGCTGGCGAGGTCTCTGTCCTTTCCTCTAGAAAGGGAGGGACGACTGTCCTTTCCTGGAGAGCGGCCGAAGTCGCCATCCTTTTCCAGAGAGCGGCATCGGCAGAGACGTCAGACCGTCCTACCCCTCACGAGTCTCGGCACCACCACCCAGCAACGGCGGCCGTCATTCGTACTGGAACTGGATGTCGATGCCCTCACTGTTTGCCGCGATCCAGGCGTCGAACCGACGGTTCAGGTCCTCGTCGAAGTAGTTCTTCCAGTCACCGATCTGACCTTTATTGGGAAAAAGTGAAATTGACAGGTTAGTCGAGCGGAGTCCCTCCCAACAGTCATACACCCACCACCAATCTAATGCGCTGAAGGGCTCAATTCATGAGACGAATGACCTTTGATGAATAAAGGGGCGTCCTTTTATCAACGCCAGACGAAGTTCCACACATTTTCCTCTTAGTCCTTGTTTAACATTGAACGTGATTTGCCTTACCGAATTTCTTAATTGCATATTTAATCCGTTTACGTGCAGCAATATTTTAAATTGACACATAAGACTTCTTGATAGTAGAGAAGACTGATTTTTTAACGCGTCTTACCTTTCCGGATGAACTTTTTCTCAGACTTGTTCTCGTGCATCAGGACGTCTCTGAAGACCTCTCGGTTCACCTTGTCATTTTTGCTCATGGAGCTGAAGCTGAGGTGGTCGCAGAGGTCGACCACCTGCTGCTCCGTCATCGGCTTCTCCAGGAAGTCGGAGACTTTCCGGACTGCGGCGGCCAAGTCCTTCACAAAGAAAAGAGTTGGGTCAGTGCGAAATAGGTACCGGCACGAAGTCAAGGGTCGGGTCAGCGTGAGTTATACCCGTCACAACGACAGGGTGAAGTATAACGATTTCGATTTCGGGCGAGTATATACCCGTGATTGGTAGAGTCAGTTACAAGTTAACCGATAGGGACTATTAATTCGGTGTTAACCTAGGCCTCAGCACTGGCAGCAGCCGCATGATACTGCAGGTCGACTGTGCCGCATGACTTTGAAGTTAAGCGGGTCAGCCTAACTGTACGCCTGTCGTACAAGATGCTATATGCAATCATGTCCGTTCGTCTTGTGTGCACTTTATCGGGAAATGCTATTCATCTGTCGACAATTTCACGTTTAATAAAAAGTTTGTGCCCAACACAAGTCTGTACCTTATTTAGATAACATTAGCAGTGGAAAGTGCATTAGCCCTCAATGTTCTCCCTCCTTCCCGGGATAACGAAGTGACGAGAAAACATATGCAGACCTATACTTGCGAAATTACAAAGCTACACCATAATTTAGAGATGGTGGGAGCTCGTCTTGATTTTTCAAACGGCTGCGGAATATAACGGTCGTACATGGTACTATCCGTTCTCTAGGGAATGCTATTTTAAAAGCAGCATTGTACAAATTCCACGCACCCAAATGGCCTTGAGTTGGTATATAGTGCGGAAAGGGCGCTCGGTTGTAGCCAATAACAGACGTAACTCAGTTGTTTATATAAGTGGGATAGCACGGCGGGACGCCTGTTGGATACGGGGTCCCGCTGGCCGAGACCAGCCCCCAGCGGCCGTCTGGTGCGGTCGGCCGGCTGTTTATCCGACCGGCTGGCGCCGAGACGGCGGTCACTGGTCAGTGGTGACGCGTGGGTCAGCGGCGCAGGAGTGCGGCCAGCGCCATGCTCACTCCCAGCCAGCTGCGTCAGTTTGAGGACGATGGCTACCTCGTGCTGCCCGAGTTCCTCTCCGACGAGGAGGTCGCGTCCCTGGAGGCGGCGCGGGCGCGGATAGTGGACGGCCTGGACCCGGCCGAGCACCGGATCAGCATCTTCACTACGCTGGAGGACCGTCAGGTGACACTGCGCACACCCGCCGGGCGCAGCCGTACGGCTCACATCACAGCACCAACAGGCGTTTGGAGCTATCGGAGAATCTTCACAAATGAGTACTTTCTCAACTCGTTGGCAATGCGCTTTATAGTTTTCACCATTTCAGCCATCCAGGTTTGATTCCCGCTTGAAGGTGAATTTTTACCATATTTGCAGGAAAGATAGAGGATAAGATGCGCCGCTGTTTCTTATATGTTCGCGAAAAAGGAACAAAAACAAAAGGGTGGGAATTGCCGCTATGGATGGCATGACACCATTCTCTATACGCAGCATGTGCGAAAAGCTGCGGGGCTGTTTCATTATCCACTTAGCGACCTATACGCATTGCGCACCATATACGAGAAGAGCCTTTCCGATAGAAACTCCTGTCTTTCAGTAACGTGCATGTAAATAATTAGCGCAAGTCCACACTCACTGCCTCTCTTCAGCGTTTGTTGCTTTCGTCTGTTGCAGGTGGACCTTCGAGCCAAGGATGATTACTTCCTGGAGAGTGGCGACAAGGTGCGGTTCTTCTGGGAGGAGGGCGCGTTCAACACGGCCGGGGAACTGACTGTGGACCGGTCGCTGGCCATCAACAAGATCGGCCACGCGCTGCACTGGCTAGTGCCCGAGTTCCGAGCCGTCACATTCAGCGACAAGGTGCGCGCGCTGTGCCGCTCGCTGCGCTTCTCGGCGCCGGCCGTGGCGCAGTCGATGTACATCTTCAAACAGCCGGGCATCGGCGGCGAGGTGACACCCCACCAGGACGCCACGTTCCTCTACACGGAGCCGCCGTCGGCCATCGCCGGCCTCTGGATGGCGCTGGAGGATGCCGACGTCGAGAACGGCTGTCTGTGGTTCGCGCCCGGCTCGCACAAAGGTCCCGTCACGCGCCGGTTCGTGAGGAACCCCGACCCGGCCGGGCCGCGGCTGCTGTTCCGCGGCCAGCAGCAGGAGGTCGACCCGGAGGCGTTCGTGCCGGTGCCGGTGAAGAGGGGCGGCTGTGTGCTCATCAGCGGCCTGGTGCAGCACCGCAGCAGTGCTAACACGTCGGCCCGCTCGCGGCACATCTACACGTTCCACGTGGTGGAAACGGACGGCGCCGAGTACTCTGAGGAGAACTGGCTGCAGCCCACCGCCCAGCTACCGTTCCCAAAACTATAAACGTGAGCCCAAACCAGCCCTTTGAGCAGCCAAAACACCGTGGTCCGTGTACAATGGATTATCTATAAGTGAAACAAATAAACCACGCGTCTAAATCTGATTATCGTCCTGCATTTATTGTGTATGGTGGGGCACTGCAGTGAGCTCTTTAGATCCTCGACCACTTCGCAGACCGGTAAACCTATAAACGTTGAATGATTCGAGTATCAGTCCCCGCGATAGCACGCCCACTATCCTCATACAGTGAGATGCCACACCAAGGCTCATCGGCACTCACCTGTTTCATGTCCTCGTAGACCAGGAAGCACATGTTGGGGTGGTCCTTCCGACTCCAGGCCTGCCGCAGGTTCTCCCAGTACGGGCACCACGGCACTGCAGCGCACACACACACACACACACACACACAACACCGGTGACAGTTGAAATACCTAAGCGTGTGAAATACCTATATCTGCTTATGCAACATGCATAGATATGTGCGTCGATGACAACATAAAAATTCATTCAATTCACCTAGGTTGACATTTTCTGAGTACGTTGACAAGGTTTTTGATAAGATGCGATGAAACAACAAACGCAAACGCTAACGTAAAATCTCGCATTCAATTAGGTATTTGTGAGAAAGTTATTCGAATACTCAGAATAGGTAGGCGCGATATATGGATTTGAACATTATAGGTGTTTTGAAAACGTGTGTTAGCCATATTCTAATGCTACTTATCACACATCAACTCAACTCACATGTGTTCGCCATGAATAGTTCTACGAAGGTCTTGAAGTCTCCCCGGAACTCATACAGGCCTTTGAAGAGCAGGTTGTGGTGGTAGTAGCTCACCACTGTGTCCTTCGGGTTTCTGGTCACGTACACTATCTAAAATGAAAAGAAAAGATGTACACGATCAGCATGCATATTCAATTCCTGGTTGAATGCACTCAAATTGAGAGATATCGCTGTGAGGACTGAGGAAACACGTACGCGCGTTGTGAAATTCTTTGTATAGGTTTCTCCCAAGGCCCATCTCTGGAACATACTGTACGGCCCTTCAGCAAAAGAGTGGTTGGTTAGCCTATGTGCTTTTGGTGTAATAACTTAAAATGACAGAGACACTCCTGTAAAATGACTCGATAGAAATGAGAAGAGGGTTCGTGCACACATTTCGGCAGTGGTTTTAAACAGCCATTCGACGTATTCATCAATGCAGATCGATTATTGTGATGTTGGCAACCAACCACTTAATACCTGGAGGGCCGTACATAGGTACAGACTGCAGTTCTAGGTTTCATTTGGAGTGTACGCTCCAGACTCCACGTGCAATTAAACTACGCACGCGCCCTATCGATCTGGTCGTTACTGGCTTGACATGTTCGCGGCGCAGTTTGGAATATTCGGTGAGAGAAGTCACCAAGCTAAGGAATTGTTATTTCTCCAGTGCATTACGACGCCAGGTAAGATGCAAGATAGTACACAAACTTCTGCGTTATCTGTAGACACGTTTCTGCACTACCGGAGCTGAAATTCAAGACAGCTTAGATCAAGGCTTAGATTGACAAAAATTCCTAGACGAGCCCCGACCTTCCCGAGTCAACCTTCTGAGTTCCGCTACCACGGAATGAGCCACATTTAGGTCGACCCAAGGACCCTCGGCAGGGTTGGGCTATGGGTCCTGCTGTGCCTCGTCGCAGAAGGACCAATGGTTTCGATACCCGATGCATGTCTATCGTCAGTGTCGGCCTGCAGATACCACTCTGATACGGAGTGACAGGACAGGGATGAGCTGCCGCCGTAAGCTTGGTTCGGCGATGTCAGGGTCACATGAGCCTGACATCAGTGCTCACAGTGACAGAGCTCACCTTGCAGACGTCCAGTATCCGGGGCGGCAGCAGAGAGAAGAAGATGTGCGTCTTGACGAAGCGTCTCTCGTTATCGGGAGTCTGCTGCATGATCTGTGTTGTGTCGTTCTTGGCTAGCGCCATGAGCTCAGGGTTGTGACGGAGCATGGTGAACATTTTGGTGGTCTTCGCACCCTTCTGCTTGATCACCTTGGTCATCATGCCTTTGCTGTTGATCCAGTGCTCCAGCAGCGGGAACTTCACGTCCATGTGAAGTGACTTGGCCTTGGCAAGATCACAGTCGTTGCCAACGCACCAAACGAGCTCCTGTGTCCATGTGGAGCCTGCCGGCGCATAAACGTAAAAATGCTACTGTTTCTCTGAAGTAAACCATCGAACAAGCTAAAAAGATAGCAACCTTTCCCGTGATACTTAAAATGCGATTTTTCTTAGCTCATGCAAGGTGAAGTTTTATTATTTCTTATCAGGTTCCCCTGGGCCCTGATATCAAAGCACCCAGCCGCCATGGACGGATAGTGGACGGACACGCCGCGAGTCACGGTTACACTGGCAATCAGTTTGATACGTGCAGGGCCGCTATGGCTGACCTGTTTTCGGGAAGGATATGACCCAGACGTCTGACGGACGCAGCGGCAGGTGGTACACCTTGTCGGCGATGTCGCGGTAGGTGGACGGCAGGCAGATGCCACCCGGCCACACCGTCTCCAGGTTGTTCAACACGCCAAAGTTCTGCTTCAGCAGGGACTTGGTTTGCGGGTCGTACTGCTCGAAGGCTATGGGACTGGCAGTGAGCTTCATTTGTGCCTGAAACAAAACAATGATTGGATGACAGGCTGGTGTTGGGTAAGTAAAAGTGCAGGTAGTACGTACTACGTAGTCGTATACGCAAATAGGATACGTCTTCACAAATCTATTACCCGTCCGTCAGAGAGATTCATTGCGGAATCGGGCGGGGAATGAGGGAGTGAGTCAAGGAAGACATTTGGATCTACCGAGCCTGGAGCCAAAATATTACCTACCCTAGGATCTAACGACCCTCCAAAATAAAAGCATGGTGATGTCTAGGTATCACACACAACCCAAGGCAAACAGACCGGGATGCGTCAACGAATAGATATTTATCAACGTTACTCTTAAAGAAAGTGTAGAAAAGGAGATAGGTAGTGGTACCGGCGCTATGGCAGGACGTACGTACTACGTTTTGTTCAAGGTGAAGGTTCACTCCGCTGTGTCACGAGAGCCAGACTCAGACGTATGTACCTGGTTGCCTTATGTAACATCTAAGACGAGGTCAAACGCCTGTCGCCAGTTCATCGCACCGCGGCTCACTTTTAAAGGATTAAATTGGACGCGCTCTCTGCTTACATTTCTATCAGCACATTAAGCCGATAGGAATGGTGAAAGTTGGGCGGTAAAACTAAATAGCTATCAAAATATAGGCTTTATTTGCGTTTATGTGCACGAAACATTTTCAAAACAGGTTATTGATTATGCTGAAATATTTCCCGTTTAACTTGCAAGCACGTGTCTCCAGTCAAAAAGAGCATTGTATCAATCACAATGGTGGGTCGACGTGGCAACCATACACAATCTCAGCGAGTGGCGAGCATTCAGCAGAAGTGCACTGACTCATAGTCAGCGCCAGATTAGCTTCAGATATACAAGGCCAGATAAGATAAATAGCTTTACTCGACAAACACTGACATGCGCTCTTAAGTGCTCACATACCACGGAGATTGGGTGACGTATTGGAGACCAAGGTCCGCATCGCCTTGGCTAAGGGCAGTGCGAGTGTGCAACGCATTGTGAGCTATTGCGCTACACGCCGGCCACCTGAACCATCATATACTGTGCAGTGCGCAGTATTTCAAAACACATCTGCACTTGAACATGTTATACAACAGAAGTAATACCTAGAAGCTATTCGGCGTTATGCAAGTGAGGAAATAGAGACTAAAATATGTACACTAATCAAACAATAGACCACAGCACAGCAGAAATGTGTACTGCGTATAGGTATAGCTGACTCACCAAATCTACCATACTTTGTCGAGAACCGCGCCCCACACCCTGGCTATACGTATGCACGGTTCGACGGACGAGTAGGCCCTGGGATGGAGTCTCCACACACCCGCCGGACACGCAGTATGTCGATTGGATGTGCAGACTCCTCACCAGTGGATGAGCCCACGGGCGAACGCGTCACAAAATCGATAGATTCGTGGAGCACCTGACACAGTTGAGTCGACGGCCAATTAAAGGGAATTAACACCGTTATTGACCTTGCTGACATGCACAAGCCTTATGCCCGAGTGACATGTAAGCCTGATGTCTTGCCTTGCATCGCGAAAACATGAGAGGGATAAAAAAGGGGAAAGACGAGAGAGAGAGAGAGAGAGAGAGAGAGAGAGAGAGAGAGAGAGAGAGAGAGAGAGAGAGAGAGAGAGAGAGAGAGAGAGAGAGAGAGAGAGAGAGAAAGTGAGAGTGAGAGAGAGAGAGAAAGAGAGAGAGAGAGAGAGAGAGAGAGAGAGAGAGAGAGAGAGAGAGAGAGAGAGAGAGAGAGAGAGAGAGAGAGAGGGAGGGAGGGAGGGAGAGAGAGAGAGAATGAGGGGGAGAAATAAGAATGGTAAGAGAGGGTATAGCAATCAAGAGTAGCGATCCATCCTTCTCCGCAACTCTCTCCCGGAGCTGTATCGATGACGGTCGTACCATTGATGACGTAGAGCTTAGTCTGATCCTCCTGGACGCAGACTTACATTCGAACCACCCGATGTGTCTGTCTTAATGGTCAACTGTTGTACCTAATGCAACAGCGGGCAGCTGAAGCCGGTGTATCGACGGCCGGCGCCGCAACCTTCAAAGAGTTACATAGGTACTGGGCTAAGAAACTCGTCTATGGAGGCATCCCACGCAAAGGCACCGCTGTTGACGGCATGCGATTCACTCGCCAGCGCATTGCGTAGTAGGGATAGTGCGTAGTGCACACCAATGTGCACCTACATACCTATGTATGTACAGGGTGTCCCGAAAGTTTTGCAACATCCTTAACGTTGTAAATTAAACACTTCAGAGTTGTCCTTTCCGCTTTATTTAACAACCAACATAGTCACCGCGAAGCCGGGCACACTTCTGGACACGTGATGGCATGCTGGCCACCAGGCGGCGCAGTGTGTCCGCGGAGATGTCTCTCCAGGCCTTCTTCAGCCGGCGCTCGAGCTGACCCAGGTTGGTGGCGGGCTCCTGCTGGTCGAGGCTCTCCTTCATGATTGCCCACACATTCTCTATCGGGTTTAGGTCGGGGGAGTTGCCAGGCCACTCCCCTTTACCCCAAAACCCTGGGAGGTGTTCCGCACACCATTCTTGTGTCCGCTTTGCGGTGTGTGCTGGTGCGCCATCTTGCATAAAAATTCCTTCTGACCTCCGGTCGACGATTTTCTTCTCCGTGACACCGCCATTGCTGCTCTTACGGTTGACCGCCGGCAGAAGTGAGCCCTCCAGAATCTCGGACACGTAGTATGCGGTGTTGACAGTCTGGTTTTTTGCACCACGTGAAGTTCAGTCAGGCCCTGTGCGGTCATTCCGCCCCACACCATGAGTTTCGCGGGGTGCTTGATGGTTTCAACCGGGGGCACTTCGTCGCGAGATTTCGCCCAGACTCGATCGTTTTGCCGATTTGGCGTATGCTGGATTTCGAAGATGGACTCGTCAGACCAGATGACGTTCTTGAACTCATCGAAGCCCCAATTTTTTACCCTCTTGCAAAATTCCAATCTTGCAAGCTTCTGTTTTCTTGTCATTTTCGGCTGTTTTGATCTTTTGTACGACCGGAAATGCTTCGACTGGGTCATGGACCGATGGACACCCGACTTTGACACCGGGTAACCCTTTCGCGTCAGCCGCGTGGCCAATTTCCTGACGCTTTGGCCACGCTTGCCAGCAGCTTTGGCACAGACGATTCTGGCGACGTTGGACACGGCACGCGGCCGGCCTGAACGTTTCTTGTCGGCTAACGGTTTGCCGTCGCGAAAACGTTTCCACCACCGGTAGACAGTGGTCCGATCGACGCCCAGCTTCTCTGCGACAACCCCCTGCGCCACGCCACCTTCCAGCAACCCGATCGCGCGGGAGCGCACCGCCTCTCTGCGCGTTACCCGTCCGGCCACCTTCATGTCTGCGACTGACCTAAGGTCAGACGGCGGCCGCCCCAGACGGGTCAGCCGTGCCCCGCGGCAATAACCGCCGCTGGGTCGGGTGGGCAGTCGCGCCGTCTACCCGGGACAAGCGGAAGGTTGCCAGTGGAACGTTGATATTAGCGGTAGAGACAAAACATATGGGAAAACGGATGTTGCAAAACTTTCGGGACACCCTGTATACCTAATGCGTAGGACACAACAGAGCTGACGATGATTTTATCTTCAGACCCCACCAATGAGGAAGGACCGCCATAAATACCTAATGCTTGGTCGAAACAAGCACAAAACTGATAAAGTTCTGCCCCAACCATCCTAACCCGCGACCGCCTGGGGGGGTCGGATCCGACCCCCCCTCCGTTTTTCTTGAATAACTTATGAACCGCTTACGCTATCGACTTGAAACTTGGCATACCTTTTCCCCCATCAATTTGACGTCTCCTGTGCAATTTTGAAGAAAAAATTTCCAAAAAATTGTGAGATATATCGATTTTAGTGATGTAACTACATGGCGTTTTCAGTCAAAAAGTGGTAAATGTTTAAAAAATCGCCAAAAATCAGGGTTTAAGGCAAATTGCAAATTAAGGACATGAATAGATGCAGCTCAACGAGTTCTTTAAAATGGCTATCTCGGATTTTCCATAAAATGCGTTTTTCACCCCCAAAAATTCAAAAAACTATATTTTTTTAAAAACAGCTCATAAAATCCAAAATTTTGAGAATTTCCAAAAAACCGGAATATATGTTATAGAGCTCTATTAGAACATTAGATGTCCCAAATTTCAACTTTCTATCTTGATTTTTGACCCCCAAATTGTAAAAAATAGCTCCAACATGCATAGGGCATGGTGACGTCATAAGCATTTTCGTGAATTAGAGGCACTTCTGAACATCGCATGTGAAAACAAATGGCACCACTAGATTCCTGGGACAAAGCTCGTCTAGAAAAGTGTATTTTTATGTCAAAAATAAAAAGTTGAAAAATTGACTTTTTTTCTTAGCCCTCTCTTAGTTATGTATGGTATAAACGATTTTTTATGCTTTCAATGCACACTTATCACCAAGCATAGTGACTTGGGGTCACATATAACCATTACCATCGGATTCGGCGTGAAAAATAAGCCATAAAACATGTGTCGCACGCCCATGTAGCAGAAAGTGAAAACCGTGACCTTTCGTGACCTGACCTGACCTTGACCCGTACTTAGTATGACCCCTATACGCACATGGTACCTTCACTAGGCCTTTGAGGTCATTTTTGGTGAGTTTCGAGCAGCAGCTGTCGATTCCGCTGTCCGTAAGCCTAATCGTGCAAAACCCCAGAATTTGACCTTTGACCTGACCTTGACCCGAAAGTTGACCTCAATCTTAAAATCTTAAGAGTGCTTTGGGAAGGTCTCGTAGAGACCTTTCGAACGCCGCCTCGCGGGGCTCGATACGACCATTGGTTCTCGAGATAACAGGGGGGGGGGGGTCGGATCCGACCCCCCCCCCCCAGGCTGTCGTGGGTACGAAAATAGCCCAGGCGGTGCCGGGCTAAGATGGATATACACTGCGGTTAGCGACAAAATAGCTTAAAACAAAGCCAACTGTCTCAAATAGTCCCATCTGCCGCCCGGATTCACTTACCTTGTGCTTCTTCCATGGTAACAATTTGTGCAGCCGGCCTCGTTTCTTCTCTCCCACGACCTCTGCACCGCTGTTGGTGACGCTCATGGTGACACGCTGCGCTGGGAGGGTGAGCGGCTGCCTCTCTTGGCCCAGTGTCGGCTGAGTGACCGAGCGTCCACCGTCCGCCGTCCGCCACCCGCGCTATCGCTCACCTACCTATCGAGCTCACTATCGCCAAAATTAGCCGTGTCAGGGGCGCCGCTCGGCGGGTGTTTGCAGCCGCCGATAAGTGGCCGGCGTGTGACGCTGATGTCACAGCCGTGTGACGCCGGCCGGGCCGCCGAGGAGTGGCGCGTCACTGCGACTGCACCGCCTCAGCCCCGCTGAGTGTCCCGGAATACAATGAGCCTATACTTCCGAGCCACCGCACCCGGCCGCGCCGCGCTATTGGCATGTGATCTCTGATCCGAGTGACAAATCATAGCTGTTCCGGTAAACGACAGCCTTTGAACAAACATACAAACGTTCCGTATTGCATAAATGCCAACGCGTGAGAAGATGGCAGATTAATGGTTTGGGCGACAAGACTTTGAAATGTTTTTGGGTTCTAAAATGAGGTATACATAAAAGGGGTAAATCGAATGAGTAGAGGAGTTAAGTCGATAGTTTTGGGCTCTGAAATACTATGAGACGATATTTGTTTCTGATTAACAGATGAGCACACACTGATGGGTCCAAGGTAGCCGGAGCACTTGCCCCTCCCGCAAAATCCGAAATTGGTGATATTCTATTTATGTTTTTCGCAGCTGAAGAAAACTAGTTAAATACCTTTACATGTAAATTTATTTTCAACTGAACAGAAATGCATAAAATGGAGAAATCCGATGATATTTCAGGCAGGGGTGCGGAGCCGCAGCCGGAGCTGGAGCCGGAGCCGCCGGAGCCGGCACATTTTGCCCGGAGCCGGAGCCGGAGCCGATTTTTTCTCCGAAGCCAGGGCCGGAGCCGGAGCTGTCTGAAATTTCCACGGCTCCGCATCCCTGCGCATAGGAGATGTACTGAGTCGGAGCCGGAGCCGGAGCCGGAGCCGCCATGACATTTCACCCGGAGCCGGAGCCGGAGCTGAAGCCGATTTTTTTCCGGAGCCGGAGCCGGAGACGGAACCGTCTGAAATTTTTACGGCTCCGCATCCCTGATTTCAGGAATAGGCGATACTTTTTGATTAGCACCCCCCCTCCTCCCACGTAAAAAATCAGATTATCGAAAGCCAAATTTCTGGATCTGGCAGTACAAACACACCTATGAAAGGTACATGACTAGGTTAATATCGTCTGAAACAAAGACAAATATTATCAAATAAACAAATTATGTGAAAACATCAAGCTCGCGTGTGGGTACTTAAAATCGTGGAAAGTAAAAATGTTCCTCGACGAATGTTTTCTTGGACTCGGTTAAATTCGTGATGAAAAATAATGCAAAGCGTCCGCAAAATTTTGGAATGCGGTTGCCGGCTTGGGACTTCAGTCTATGGCTTAAAAAAAGATATGTTATCGTAGTATCTGGTTACTGAGCTTCTGTTCATCGATAGGAATGCACGTCCCAGGCTGACTGGTGGAGTACCGTCATTCCTATTAGCATGGGCATTCTGATAAAATTGATTGACTTCAGCGACAATTACGTTCTTGTTCCTGCACAGGTATTATCCTACCTACGTATTCGGTAGTTATCTAAAAGTTTTATGTTTTTGCAGTTAAATGTAAACGAGAACATGTGACAGAAAACACATAACATGACGCAGGAAGAGCTTGGGCTGTCTGTCGTTCGTCACAAAATTCGGCTTACTGGTGGTTCGATGCGATAGTGCCGTCGAACATCGCCTATCGTTTCCGTATTGAGTGGGTGGTATGACGCGGGCGGCGGTAGGGCGGCACGGCGGTCGACCGGCACCGTTTCAACGGTCATACTCCCGACAGTGACGTCAGCACCGCCACCGGCACCCAATGATAACGCGGTCGTTGGCGTGTGACGTCATATCTGTGACTCTCGAGGTTCAGTGGACGTTATTCACGCTTTGAACGGGGGTGGCGAGCATCACGCCTATTTTTAGTGGGCTTCATATGAAGCTCTTTTAACGACGTTTGTTTGTTTGTTTGTTTTGTTGGGTTAGGCCCTTTCGGTCGACAAGACCATTGCAGAGCCGGAAGGATGATAGGAGTTAGGGGGAGACATTGGTCTGGGCAGGCACCCTAGTGAGTCGCCGGGGCTGAGCCCGTCCAGAGGACAGGCCACCCAGCCCCAAGGCACTCACTGCACCCGGCTACGGGGTGCGCTCCCTCGGGAGCAGCGGTGCCGCTCCAAGGGAGCAGCCCGCATGAGATAAAGTTGCCTGCCCAGCCCGGAAGGGGGTTGTGGCGTGGAGGAGAAGGATTTCAGTATCCTGAGGATAGAAGCACGGACAGGTGTGTTTAACGACGTTAGACCAAGGTCCTCTACTATCAAGGAAAATCACTCTCCGGTGGACCAGTCAGGATGCGATCCTGGGTAAAATACGTCATCGCTGACGTAATGGTCTTTGACGCCGTACCCAAACGTGCATACGCGCGAACTAGGCATTTGGGCTAACTTAAAACGGGCCCGCGGTTGGCCTCAGGTCGTGAAAAGACCTAAAAGGACCCGTTTTAAAAATTATATAAAATTAGTGGGTAAGTGGTCAAAAGGGCCCTCGAAGCCATTTCGATTCTTTCGAGACAAAAAATCGGAATATGTTCCAGGGGGACCCTAGGACCCCAGGACCACTCCTTGGATACGCCACTGATGCAGTAGTGCACAACTGCACAGCGTAAGCAGTCTCAGCACCAACGTGGGCTTTCAGTGCCATCTACTCGTGGAAGGCGCTCACAGAGACCTCTGGAGGCGTAGTGAAGAAATTCCTGGACTTCCGAAGCCCGATCCCTCTTGGGTGAGATTTGAGGTCCAAAGTATACCTACAGTGTGTTCCAAAAGTTTTTAACCCGCGCCGGGCCAGTGCTCTGCGACTTTCGCGCCGGGCCGGGGGGGGGGAGGGTGTCTGAACACCCCCCGTCTAACTCGGCTCCTGGGCCAGGTAGCAACACACAGTAAGCGGCATTCGAAAGAGCGTCAAAAATTATGACGGAAACACTAGGTCATTTTTTGGGTCAGGTCAAAGGTCAGGTCGCTAGAGGTCATCGAAGGTTAAATGTAGTCCATTTCAACAATTTTGGAAACTGACAACGGCTAACTCCGGAATCAATAGAGCTACAGCACCGCGGAAAAGCGCATTCGATAGCCCTTTTACAGACCTTTCTGAGTATTGTTCTCAGAGTTGATCTCAGGTCAACGGTTTTGCTCCAGAGGGCAAAAACTGTAAAAATAGTAGTTTCCCGAAAGTGGTTTTTCGTCAATAACTTTTATCTCAAGAGAGCCACGACATTACTTTTGGCAGCATCGTGTTCCTCTCGTTGAGACGCGTCGAATGAACAATTTGTTGACCTTGAAAGGTCATTTTGAAAATTTTACCTCAGGTCAAGGTCATGACCTGACCGGAAACTGGAAAGGGTCATATTGCATATCAGTCGATCCGTATCGTCGAGCTGAATACATCTGACTTGTTTTTATCGCTCTAGCACGTCTTTATCAAAAGTTATAGCCAAAAAACTGCTGGTGACCGTTCATGACCTGAGATGACCTCAGGGGCACAGAGAGGGGTCACAGGTGCATTTTTCCGATTCAGTGTGTCATGTTTACCTGTGAACTGATGTTTGAGAGGGTTTTGAACGTCATCCGTCCAAAAGAGGTGCATTTCAATTTTCTCCCATTGACTTATAATGGAGAGGTCGCAAAATTGACCTGACCTTAGGTCACCTATATCAAAATTCCGAGATAAACATTTTGTACATGCTGTTATTTTTATCAATCGCTGAAAGTTTTAACCCTATTAGTGGCAGGCTCCTGGCTACCCCATATTAGTGGCAGGGGGGGGGGGGGGCTGTTTACGACCCCCCCTTGATATCTCGAGATCTAACCGGCCGATTTTCAAAATTCAAACGGCATTCGATTTGGCTCAACGAGATCTACATTTCTAAAAAAAAAATTAAAAAATGTCAATAGGGGGGTAGAGGGGGGTAAAAACTGGCAAATTGCAGATACATTTTAGACTGTTTATCACGGCCAGGTTTCTGAACCAACCTTAACGCAACTTTTGCCGATCGATAGAGAATGAACCAGAAATTCACATGGATCCTAAAAATATGCATTTTCAAAAATCATAGGCGGATACAGATCATTGAGATTGGGGGTACACAAAAAGTATAGTAAATAAGGTTTTTGTTGGTACTGTTTCTAAAAAGGGTGGCAATGGTCTTGTTATGTTACAATTTTCTTATGAGAGAACGACTAAAATTGTATTGTTCATGCATAGGCGGTGTCAGGGCACATATGTTGGGAGGTAAAAAATAACTCCCCTTTTTGGACGCCTGGATCCGCCTATTATAGCAAAAACGTGTCAAAAGAGGATGCACAATAACTTTGTATATGTTATCACATGATACCTTTCATTCACTGTTCGTAAAACTGGTGCAGCATCGTGATCTTCGCCCAAATGACTCGCTTCACGAATAGGACCCCCAATTCCCAGTGCTCTGGAGCCGCCCCTGGTAAAGTTATGAACTTGAAATTTTCAGGGAATGTGCCCAATTTAGTTTTAGGAAAAGTCAGAAAATTTCAGCATCGTAGCTTCAGCGGTTTCGGAGATATTCCCGAAAAACCTGAGGGGTGGATAAAAACAACCCCCCCCCCTGCCACTAATAGGGTTAAGGCGATTGTTCAGTTGGTGTAGCTATGACGAGGATTGAAACTTTTTCTGAGGTGAGGTCACTTGACCTGACCTGGTGACCTGACCTTGAGAGTCCTGGGTCTACAATTTTAACAACATGTGCGAAAAAGATGCATTAAAGGGACTATCCCACCTTCTAAAATGTTGTTAAAACCAGTTAAATTGTGCCCGACTTTATAGATTGGATGACCAGGAACACGGTTCTGGCATTTATTTTTCATTAAACATCTTAGGCTTCCCATATTCCAAACACAAACTTTCAAATATGTGACGTCACAGCCCAAAATTACCTCCTTCCCCAGGCCACATTACTGTCATAAAGCTGATTCTTTTTACTCTGTAGGCACCACAACAAAGTTCAGACCAAGTTTTAAGCGATTTTTCAACGAACAAACCCATTTAACCCGCGCCCTGCTGGGGGTCCTGGATTTCCACGCCCTGCTGGGGGGGGGGGGGGGGGGTGTTTGAACACCCCCCCTTCTAACTCGGCTCCTGGGCCACGTACCGATACGCGGAAGGCGGCGTTCGAAA